ATTGTATATTAAAATTATCTACATAGTTATCAACAGATGGAACCCAACGAAATGCTCTTTGGGGAAAGAGATGATCCTATGAAAATTGAGCATCTCTCAATTTTAAGAAAGCTGACTGGTGCTGTTGGGAATGTTAGTTGAGCAAGATGTGATTGGCTTATGATCACCGGCTCATAGGAAAGCTGGAGAAGACGGTGAAGGCATTTATTCTGGGAGGTGATGAAAAACTATCCATGCCTGAGATTTAATGTTGGCTAACTGAAAAAGAAGCTGAACTTGAGTGAACTGAGGGAAATACAGCTGACCAGGAAGGGTGGGAGGAATAAGGACAGAGAAAGAGTGAACCAAGTTGGAAGGGGAGGCCAGCCAGTTGTCTTTTATAGAAGTCATCCCGTGACTCACACTTTGGGATCGGAGGCAAGGCTGGGTGCTGGAGTTCTCAGAAGTTCCTGCTAAAAGGGAACAAATGGGCTGAAGGTTACAATCTGTTAGGAGTGAGAACTACAAATTAAGGTAGGTTCTTCGGTAGTCATTCTAAGAATATTCATTGGGTGTTCCTATCGCCTCGCTTTCTTTACATATGTATCTCTATAGTGTATGTGTTATTCTTGAATGGAATCTGTGGAATTTGCTGGGGAGATTTCACAATGGATAGCTATGCTGGAGATGACATTCAACCAAAGGAAGAAAGCATGAGAAAGGATAGGAGGGTACGTAGAAGAAAATAGGAAAAATTGCCCCAATGCAGGACAATGTGTAGCTTTAAATGGGCAGTAGGGGAGGGGAGAAATAGGAAGCTTGCCTAGTTTCACCTGAAGATGCAGAGATAATTGTATACAAATCTTAAGCACAGTTTCTTTACCTCCCTGTCTTTAGGAAGGAAAGCTGTTTTCGACTAGATTTGTCTATTGCTCTGTTTAGCCACCTTCTGCATCCTTGGCAATTTCTAGATTAGTGAGATAGATATCTACATATTTTGGTGGTCTCAGATGTTATCTTTAGTGAAATGTGCAAACCAGTGTTTGCACGCTTTTCCCTTCTGTCCTGGCCACTTTATACGGAGGCACAATTGAGAGCGTTTTAACAAACTGCATCACTGTTTGGTTTGGTGGCAACAGTGCCTCAGATAGAAAGTCCATACAGAGAGAGGTAAGGGCAGCCAAGAAGATCATAGGAAGCTTGCTTTCCATAATTCTGGATACTGCTTATAAGTGCTATCTGCTTAGAGCTCAAAGCCTTGTTGCGGACCCCACATACCCACGTCCTGTTGCTGCCCTCTGGGAGGAGATTTCAAACTATCTATAGCAGGATTACTAGATTCTGTAACAACTTTGTTTCTTATGTCATCCATCTTATAAATTCTCAGGATTCTTTTCTCCCCTCCCCTATCCCGTCATATAATACATCCAAATTAGACTGTGATGTTTCTCTGTGTCATATGTGTGTGGAGAAGGGTGGAGTATATGTATATGGTTATCTTTTAAGAACTGAATGCAACAAAATTTCATTTTAATGTATGCTGATTAGTGTACATTTAAAATGATCTATTCTATTCTATTCTATTCTATTCTATTCTATTCTATTCTATTCTATTCTATTCTATTCTATTCTATTCTATTCTATTCTATTCTTCTACATGTCTAGAAGTTGCCATAGTTTGGAAACTTTTAGTTCAATATTATTGGCATTCACTATCAGTAACTCGATGAGAGTCTTTTCTAGTTCCACTTCTGTTTTTTCTTTTTTTCACCAATTGGAGATTGCCTGGATAAAGCCTTGCCATTTTCTTGGCATTGTTTTCAAGAAGTGGTTTGTTGTTCCCTCCTTCCTGGGCTGATATTGTACCTAAGGCAGGACTGGAACTCACCATCTTCTGGTTGCTAGTCTGATGCCTTAAAATATTGCACCAAACTGGTTCTACACTGTATGCTTTTATGTGTAGAGTACTCTACCATTGAGCTGAAAAAGAGGTGAAATCTTATATTACTTTATGCTGTTAAGTATGGTAACTAACCTACTCATGGAAAAAGCCACTCAGGCTCCAACATTCTTCACAATGTTATTTCTTTTAAAAAATTTCTTCCCATTCTCCTGCTCCTCCTCCTGCTCCTCTTCCAGATTCTTGCTGTACAATCCCTATTCCAATTGTGAAATTGACTGGGAATAATGGAAATTGACCGGATTAGGTGTTGTTAAGACTGTGAAATTGAATGGATTGCAGCAAAAAGGTTAATGGGAAGGGCACTGTCTTAAAACAAAGAGCAACAAAGATGATTAGGGGACTGGAGACTAAAACATGCGAAGAACTGGCTATTGGGTATATTTAGTCTAATAAAAAGAAGAACTGGGGTGGCACGATAGCAGTCTTCCAATATCTAAGGGGCTGACACAGAGAAGAGGGGATCAACCTATTCTCCAGAGCATCTGAAGGTAGGAAGAGAAGCAATGGATGGCAACTAATCAATGAGAAGACCAACCTAGAAATAAAGAGAAATTTCCTGACAGAACAATTAACCAGTGGCCTTCAGAAGTTGTGGGTGCTCCATCACTGGAGCTTTTAAAGAAGAGATTGGACAGCCATTTGTCGGAAATGATATAGGGTCGTGATGGCGAACCTATGGCACGCGTGCCACAGGTGGCACGCAAAGCCATTTGTGCCGGCACGCAAGCCACAGGCAAACTTACCCCACTACGCATGCGTGCACCTCATAGCTGATTTTTGGCCTGTTTGAGGCCTTTTTCGGCCTCCCAGAGGCTTGAAGAAAACCTCTGCAGCCCCAAAAATAGGCCCGTTTTGTCACTTCCTGTATTTCCAGAAATACTGGAAGTGATGAAACGGGACTATTTTTCGGGCTGCAGAGTCCTTCATCAAGCCCCTGGGAAGCTGAAAAAGGCCTCAAAGGGGCTGAAAATCAGCTGGGAGATTCAGTGCAGGTAAGGGGGCGACAGCAGTAGTGGGGGATTGTGCACGCATGCGCAGTGGCATGGCATTGCCTTCTGGGTGCTGGCACGCGAGTGCGCCCACAATTTTTGGCACAGGAGCCCAAAAAGGTTAGCCACCACTGGTATAGGGTCTCCTGCTTGAGGAGGGGGTTGGACTAGAAGACCTCTAAGGTCCCTTCCATCTTTGTTATTCTATATGAAATCTTTGCTTTGAACAAGCCAACGCTAATTTTAAAAAATTACTCAAATGTGTGATATTAGCGGATTTAAATTGGGCTGAAAAGCAAGTAAGGTAACAACTAAAACTTGAACTTGTGGTATTCCTGGATGCCAAAACATTGTCGCCTTTTAGAATTTCCTGCATCTTCCATGACTGTGTGGTGGGATTGTTGCTGAGAGTTATTTGCCTTTGGTTATGTAAAGGCAACAAGTGGAAAAGAAAGCAATAACAAAAAGATTAAGAGCTGCTGATACATATACAGTAAATATATGAATAAGTTGCTTCCAGACATAAATTATGCATGGATGATCATGATGAATTATGGCCATCCTTTATTAAAACAGTTGTGTAAAACTTCATACACATTTATAAGATGCATGCCTCCTGCTCTTAAGCTGATAATGTGACCATTTTAAGATTAAACCCCATTCCCGGTTGACTCTTGTTTTAAAACTTTGGGCAATGCATGGGTCTCCAAATTCCATGGGACATTCCAAATTGGAATCACCATGAATCCAATTAGGAGGAGGATTGGACTGCCATCTGAATTTCTGTGAATTTATCATACCTTTGGTCTTGGTGAAAAGTTTTCTAGTTCAACCAGAAAAGGTGTCTAGTTTGAATCAACAACCCTAGTTTCTATTAATGTACCTCTCTTTGCATTTGTTCTTATAGGAGTGCACTGTATCTGAAAGAGAGGACCGAATTTTGCTGATCGTAAGTAGTGAAAACGTCTGGGTCCCCATCACAATGTTGAAACTACAATTTCCCCAACCTTCTATTGGTTAATAGCCATATAATTGCCTTATATACAGAATCTTAAATGGGTTTGTCTGAAAAGTCATTGGTGGAGATGCAAGTATCTTCCTAACTCCTCCTCTTCTCTAATTAACACACAAAAGAAGAAATGTGGGGGATTAGACCAAGGATAATTTAGACCTCTTAGGATAGACCATCTGCTCAGCCAGATGTCTATTGGAAATACTTTATTTCCATATATCCATCCCCAGGCAGACATGGGCAAATTCTGAAGGATAAGGGCCACAACTATACCTCTTGATTTGATGGGAGGGGGTGTCATAAGTTGTACTGAGGGGTTGTAGAATGGGTTTTAATTTGGGGCCAATTTTAAACCACTCATGGTACTGGACTGCTGTGAACCACAAATGGTGTAACCAAAGCCTTCTGGCAGGTGACCATCACTGTATCTTTAGTGGGGAGCATTGTTTATTTCTACATAAGAGAGATTTGCCTTTTGACTGTTTCCTAAGTGATCTGAAAAGATCTGCAGAAAGTCTATAAAAATAACTCAGCAGCATTTGCCCAGTTGTAGCTGAGCTCATTTCACAGGTCCGTGTTGGAGCTCCTTGTATCTCATTTGTTCTTCGAGTGGTCATTCTTGAGGACACCACCGTACAGGGCAGTTCAAGCCATGCTTCCCCAGAGCCTTTGCCTTTTGACTCTGCAGGGAAGACACATCTCTGGAATCTGTGAGCATATCTTGCACTGTAGCCCAGCGAATCTCCTGGATCAAACAGCCATTTTGGAAACGGTGGAGCTTGAACCTGCAGGTCCAGAAGACAATTTGGTGAGTCTGGCACTGTCAGGATTACAGCTGTTTTGGACAAAAATAACTGAAGTCAATGTCCACCAACTTAATTCATTCTACACCAGTTCTTGACTACAAATATCCCTCTCCTCTCTTGTGGGTACTCATTAGGGGGTCTGAGCAAGGTTTTTGGGCATGATCAAAATCATTAATGAGGCACACTGTCTTCTTATTTTTTTTCACACATATTTTCTTCTCCATGTAATTTAATCAGGTCTACACAAATCTTGTATGATAAATAATGTTTGCCTTGCAGATCTAAAAGGGTTTGGACCCCAACTGGTAATCTTGTAAGCTCCAACACAAAAGAGAGAGGTCTGAGATATCTTTGAGGAATCTCAAGTTATGAGGAAGTGCCTAAAATGTCTGAAGAGGGAAAACATAAAGGGAAAGAAAGGAAGAGCCAAAATAGCCAGAGTGTGCTCGGGGGACATGGGATGCTGAAGTACCATTGCCAGGGCAGATGAAGAATGGGGTGAAGGAGAGAAGAGTTCAGCATGGAGAAGTTGGCCTCCTGAAGAACTTCATGTTGCAAAGTCTTGTTCCAGGTCCCACCATGTGATTGATACCACAGGAACTGATATAGATGCCTTTATGGAGTCATTCTTCCGGGGGTTTCAGAAAAGGGCCCCTCTATCAATCTCATCTTGCTATGGTTGGAACAGGAATTTCCCTCACATACCACACAAGTTTGACCAGTATTGGACTCCAACATCTATCATTTTCAAGCTACGCAGCTAATCACTATGTGGACATCCCCTCATTTATTTTAGGTTCCTTTGCTAAAAAGAACAATGATTAATGTCCCAGCTTGGGGTTGTACATTCCTGGATAGTTTTTCTATATGTAGTTTATAATTATAATTCTCTATAGCTGTACATATATAAAATTATCCAGGAATCAACAACCCCAAGCTGGGACATATATATGGTCCATGTCAGAGCTGTTTACATATGAAATTGCCTTCCACTGGGTTAGTCCATCTTGGCTAGTTTTGCATCATCTGGCATTCCTCAACCTGGATGTTTTGGACCTCCTTCAAATGCTTTGTGCCTCCTACCCTCCACAGCAAGTTTGGGGATTGGCTGGAAGCAAATGCAGTCAAATTATCTGAAGGGTGGTGCATTAGGGAAGGCTGATCTCTTTTGATGAGCCATTGCTATCCAGTGACTCGACAGAGGTGCCGGGAACTGAACGTACACACGAGGCAGCTGTCTCTGGCAGAGCCAGAGTTGAGCTGATAAGCGTGTCTCCTAAATCTTCTCTCTGCAGGGCCTAGAGATTAAGTCCTTGCCCTCCTGTCTCCATTTGATATCAGGGACTGCCCGAGAGGTGAGTATACGGTGGGAGCGGTTTCAGTTCATAGTTCTGTCTCTTCCCCCTCCAAGGCACATTCCCAAGACTAGCAAGAGTCACCGTAACTCCGGTCTTTAAAATAGACCCTCCTCTCCAACAGGCCAGTTCTTTCTTTTTCAAACTGTTGCCTGTGAAAATGTGGCAATTGCCATTATTGCTTCTCCCCCGTGGGGTTTCTGCATCATACTTGGCTAATTACCATTTATCCCTTCCCTTCCCCTCCTCTCCTTGGCACAGCTGCCTCCTTCGTTCCTTTGCATTCTTTATTGAGTAGAATTAACCAAAAGGTCAAGCTTGAAGTTAATACTTAATCCCCCGGGCAGGAATCTTTCCTCCTCCAACCCCCAAGAGTTTGACTTTTTCTGTCCAAAAAGTTCCTTACTACAGTTATACAAACCGTGAGACTGTCCGTACTGCCTTTTCAGCCCTTTCTCTCCAAAGGCAGCCTTGTCCTTGAGGGTCTCTTGTTTTTTCCCCTTCCAGATTCCTGTTGACCAATACAACAAGGTCTTCCCAGGTGATGAAATAGTCCAAGTCAATGACCAGGTGGTGGTAAGTCGAGGCTTCTTCTCTACTTGGTTTCTGGGGCAGGAATGTACTGTGGTGCTGAGCTATCTTAGAAGGGAGAGATTAACCTGAATGGGATAGATCTTAATTATCAACTTGCCTTAATTTTTTCTGCTGCATGAAGTTGCTTTGCTGGATGATGGGGAGATCCTTTACGGCCGAGAAAAGCATCTCTCTCTCTCTCCTTCTCTTCTGAAAAACTTCCAGTGTTGGAGCATTCACAACTTCTGGAGGCAAGTTGTAACAATTAATCAGTGGAACAACTTGCCTCTAGAACAGTGGTTCTCAACCTCCCTAATGCCGTGACCCTTTAATACAGTTCCTCATGATGTGGTGATCCCCCACCATAAAATTATGGCTCGGTTCCTAAGACCACCGAAAATATGTGTTTTCCGATGGTCTTAGGCGACCCCTGTGACAGGGTCGTTCGACCCCCAAAGGGTGGGTCATTCGACCCACAGGTTGAGAACCACTGCTCTAGAAGTTGTGAATGCTCCGACACTGGGAGTTTTTAAGAAGAGATTGGACAATCAGTTTCTGGAGGCAACTGGAATTTCTTGTTTTTTCTTTGAAGACATTTTGCTTGTCATCCAAGAAGCTTCTTCGGCTCTGACAGGAGAGTAGGGAATGGAAGGATTTATATTCCTTGCAGGCAGCTGGTAATTTGCATCATTTTAGAGGGTCTTTGAAGCACTTGGAAGTTTATCTTTGTCCTCAGGATCACCCAAGATTGGACAACCATTTGTCTGAAATGGCATAGAGAGTTTCCTGCTATTCTATTCTATTTCCTAAGGAGAAAAGATGGAAAAGTTTCCATGTGCTAATATACACATATAAACATAAACTTCAGTATATTTAAACTAAGATTTAGCTCCTTATTGTGTGAGAAAGACTTTGTTTGAGTATTGCTCACCTGCTAAGTGGTGATGGGTTGACTTCCAACTTTCCTGGCTTCTCTTCCTGTGATTGTGTATCTTTAAGATGGAATAAAACAGGGCAACTCTTCAAATAAGAGAACGGTCCTCTGCAAAATAGCAGGCTTGACTGGTTGCAGCTTATGAAAACTGCAGCCTTTTAATAAAATTTCATTAGTCAGGAAAGGTACCATGAGGCTTCCTGCAGTTTTTATGCTCCCACAGACTTAACACAGGCTGTCCTCCTACAATAGCTGGACAGCATAGTCTCTGCATTAGCTCACGTGTATTAACTTTTAAATTAACAGAAATACATTCTGCAATGACTCACCAAGGTTTAGAGCAGATGATATTTTTTTTCTACCTGGGGAGATCATATTTTTAATTGGGAAATGTCATTGATTGCAAAAATAATTTGCCAGTATACTTTCTGGTGTTATGCAGTAGTGATTGTGTTGGAGTGTTTTTCACGTGAAGTCCCAAATGCACTAAAATCTTAGCCAAATGACATGCCGCATGGGCCAACACATGAGCACTACCAGATTAGAGCATAGAGATGTGCAAACCCTTGCAAAGAGATGCGTTGAAACACAAAGGCTCATGCACGAAGCACCTCTCATTTGACTCATGAAAGCAGCCATGTCTTCTTCCAGGTGTTCATGATTGCGGTAGGAAGGTGCTCTCAGCTGTCTCTGAACATGTGCATTAATTTTGATGTACCCCATATCAAAGTATGGACAGAGATGTAATAGAGATTTTTTAAAAATACACCACAAAATAATACTGCCATAATACAATTAACCACAAAAACAATGATCCGTTGCTCTACAAAGGTTGCCTCAAAGGCAAATTATATTTTTGGATGTGAAAAATTTAACGCTATATGTACCAAACTGGTCTGCTGGGGAGAGTGTTTCACAAATGGAGTTCAGTACCAATTCTTATGGCCACCCCATATTTGGAAAGAGAAAGTCACAACCACATTTATCTACAGGTAGTCCTCGACTTAAGACCACAATTGAGACCAGAAATTCTGTTGCTAAGCAAGGGAATGATGCTCAGTTTTATGACTTTTCTTACCACAATTGTTGAGCCAATCACTGCAGTTGTTAAACGAATCATGCAGTCTTTAAGCAAATCTGGCTTCTCCCATTGATTTTGTTTGTCAGAAGGCGACCTGGGATGGTCTCAAATGGCAACCATGTGATGCCAAGATCAGGGGTGGGATTCAAAAATCCCAGCAACCGATTCACTGCCCAGTTGCTGGGTGGGCATGGCCATAGTAGGTGTGACCTACCAGAACTTACGGGAGGGCTGTTTTTCACCTTCCCCGGAGTCCGGAGACTTCCCTCGGGCCTCTGGGAGGGTGAAAACAGCTTCCCCCAGGCTCTGGAGGCCCTCCGGAAGCCGGAAACAGGCCTGTTTCTGGACTTCCGGAAGGCCCACTTTTCCCCCTCCCAGAACCTCCGCGCAGACCCTGCACTTACCTGCATCGAAAATGGGTTGTGTGGAGACTCCGGGGAGGGGAGTGATGGGCGGGGCCAGTGGGTCAGTTCAAATACTAGTTCAGCGAACCAGATGCAAATTTAATATTCGGTTCGCCTGAACTGGTCCAAACTGGTAGAATCCCACCCCTGGCCAGGATGCATCAATAATACATGCTGGTAGCCAAGTGCTTGAATTTTGATCATGTGACCATGGGGATGCTGTGACGGTCATAAGTGTGAGGGCCAGTTGTAAGTTTGTCAGTGCTTTTAGAACTTCAAATGGTCACTAAACAAGTGATGGTAAGGACCACCTGTATGTAAAATGATGCCTTTGTATCTCGCTTCACGATGCAGTGTACATAACCAATGCATCAAATGATAACAGCACTCAAGACCCCCATTCTTATCATTAAAAGTAAGGCAAAGGGTTGATTGTGCAGGTGGGGTGGACCCGGATGAATCTTGTGAAGAAGCTTCTGGAATCCAGTCGAGTGACGCTGGTGCTGAAGAAAATCCCACTGGTTTCTTCGGAGTCTTCCCGTCCCCCAGAATCTCCTCTTCACCAGCAAGTAAGTTTAGGCCAGGTCAAATTTCCCAGCCCAGTGCTTCATAGTTGAAAAAGCTTCAACTCCTACAATTCTCAGCCCCCACAACTTTTGAAGCATATATGTTTATATAGAGACATATGTTGCAATGTCCAGACAATCGTCGCACCAATCATTGCAATGTCCACCAATGCCAGAACCTGACTGGTGCAGAATTCTGCTTCATGTGGAAGAGCACATATCTGTTTGCCCAAAGTGGTCCTTCGTGTATGAAATTGGTGGCCACAGTTCTCCACTTTCAGCAGGGAAAATGATGAGCATCTCTTTATCTTTAGAGCAGTGTTTCTCAATCTCAATCGCTTTAAGATGTGTGGACTTCAACTCCCAGAATTCCCCAGCCAGCCATACTGGTTGGGGATTTCTGGGAGCTGAAGTCCACACATCTTAAAGTTGCTGAGATGTAGAAACACAGCTTTAGAACATCTTTTTAGAGTTAAGGGCAAACCCTGTAATGTGGTAGATTGGAGTGGTTGTCTTAGGGAACGATGTAGTCCCTATGGTTGTATTGTGATAGTGGGACATCCCAGGGAATGTCATACCTTCCCATTCCTAAGATGCAGTTTCCCAAAATCAGGGATCTTGGTTCCCACCTACATTTCATGAACCGTGGAATATTTTTGCATCTTTTAAATCCCCCTCCCCCAAATGGAGAACCCCCAGCATCCTTCATCCTCCTTGCTTAGATGCCTTCTTACCATTTGACAACCCCTGAAGATCTCTCTGGTCTATCTTTCCAAGATCTTAGGCCTTAGACCACCCCAATAGTAATAATAATAATAATAATAATCAACACCATCTTGATTTTACATTGGAAAAGCAAAGACAGGCATCTTGAAAATTCCATTGTCCCCTACCTCCAAATATACCAGTGATTCATCTCCTACTTTTATGGTTTCCCGGGAGTTTCATTGGTGACTCAATGGGAAGCTGAAAGTGGAGATCAGTTGGCAACAGGAAGCGTTACTTCTCACCCTAGACAGATACTATCCTTAACTGGCTTTGTTTACTCCCCAGCAGCCCCATGCTTTCTTAGAAGACCTGAGCTCAAGAAGCGATGACTCTTCAGCCAGCTCTGCGTCACCAACATCCAGGTCAGGCATCCATCAAGTGGAGGACTTGTTTGTTGGCAAGATTGCCGTGGGGTGTGGTTGGTGATGAGGGATGAGAACTGTGGACATGGGAAGGTCTTGGCTCTTGGTCCATGGCCTAGTGAAGAGAATGCGAAGAGCAAACAGAACATTCCTGTGATGCAGAGAAGGCTATCTTTAGAGCTGGGCCTGACTCAGATATTCTCTGGGGGGAAGAGAGAAATGCATTCTGGTCAAGCCTGAGATGTTTTCTCCACATATTGCAAAATATGTGTGTGAATGTGAAGTTCTTGGTGCTCTCTGCTCTTGACTGTTTTCTTGCAGATGTTTTGTTACTCAATTAGGTAACATCTTCAGTGCTAGAAGGAAGTGCTTTATGTTTCTATGGAGTGGCTTGTCTTGTCAAGTGTTATTTTCTTCTAGTAGTTCTGATTACATTGTTGTTTACTATTTGTTTGTCTGGATTGATAGTTCCTAGATTGGGCATTGTTTACGGCTTGATTGTTTGTTTGGAATTAATCCTGCTGTTAATCCCAGTTTATCAGGATGTCAGTTGCTGGTTGAGGAGGTGTTTTGGTCTTTTTATTTTCTTTTAATCTTTTTGCTACCAGACTCTCTTCTAGCCCCAAAGGTGTTACTTAGTTGGGTAATTAAATGCCTTCAAGAAAATAATCATGCTCAGAGATCACCAAGGGCCACACAATTCAACTCTGAGCTACAAATATTGTCTTCTGGCAATGTATGAGAATTTTATACACTCAGCCTAACAGTTTTCATCTGTGCTGACACCTTCAAAGTAATTGCTTAAGACAGGCATCGTCAAACTTGACAGCTTTAAGACTTGTGGACTTCAGCTCCCAGAATTCCTCCTCCAGTCATGTTAGCTCAGGAATTCTGGGAGTTGAAGTTCACAAGTCTTAAACTTGCCAAGTTTGAAGACCCTTGGCTTAAGTTGATGAATATATAATAGATGTATTCTTGCGACCTACTTATCTGCTGACTAAATTAACCCATTTTGTAGTTATCTATAATACATTCACCTGGATTTGCACAATAAGCGTAAGGTACAAATCTCCACCTACAAGGCCTATCACCCCACCTATCTTACAGGTTATAATTATTATTTTATATGTAACCTGCCTCCAAACAATTCTGTGCAGTTATATGCATACATGCACATATAACTCTCATGCACATATTTTTGCTTTCTTTCTCTCTCTGGCATTAATGCAATAATAATAAAAAACTAATAAATGACTAAATAACCAATAATAAATCAAACAAGTAACAACCAGATCATTTTCATAGTATTCAAAATTAAGACTTGAAATGGCCACTTCAGTTGGCCAATGGTAGCTTCTCCGACCTGGAACCCTTCAGTGAGTTGACTTCACATTCCTATAATGCTTTAGACTAGAACGTTGAAGTCTCTATGGCTGTTCAATTGCTAAGAATCCAGACTATCCCACCTCCCAGAGTTAGACAGTGTGGTATGTGCAGGTCATGGCTTCTTTCTTTTCTTCTACCTTCTTATCTTCTTGCTAGTGAAGTAGATAGCAATAGAAGATAAAAGTAGCAGAGTAGAGTAGAAGGTTCCAGAAACTGTTTACAAATAGTAGAGGTTGGCTTCTTGATGTTTATGCAGATGTGACTTAGTCTTCCATAACAACATATGCAATGCCATTTTCACTCAAGCTTTCAATAGGAAAGAAACCACAAATGAGAATGTTGCAACATGAGGAGACACTCTGGTTCAAGGAACAGATGAAATATCTCTTGAAGAAATTAGTGACCTTCCCCCTTCCTATTACTCAAGCTACATCTTGGCTGCACTTTAAATTTTCCGATAATAAAATTAGGCATTTTTCCTCTAATTTGTTTCCATCTTTTTATAAGGGTTCCCCCATATAACATGTGGGAGGGATTGTAAGTGTCCTTGGGGACGATAGCCCAGATCCTTGTCTTCTGTCGTCATCAAACCCAGCAATGCTTCTGGGCCACAAATGGGTGGTATCATGAGATTTCATAGAAAATTCAAGGGTTGAGATGTTTTCACCAGGGGCTTGGAAATGTGCACCCTTGCCCAGAAGAGGAATAAAAGTAGACATACAGAAGGGAGAGTAGCTAATAACCTTGTAAACAGATGTTTTGTACCTAGTTATTGTAGCTCTTCTTTGTGAGTAGAAAAACCAGCCCACCAATCATTTTGTCCACAACTGTTCTCAACAATTACTTGCGTACTGGTCCACCACTGATAGGATGCTCCCCTTGCTGAATTACACATTATTTTTCAATTTCTCTCGCTGTTTAATAAGATGTTTGGGAGATTAAATGGTGCAAAAAAACATTTGCTTGTTTTGTTAAAAGAAAGTTTACAGTTTTATTCCTATGATCTAATGATTGTACAGTCTTCCCGTTTGACAATGTCTGATATGCTGAGACTGCAGTTCCCAGAATTCCTAGCCAGCATAGTGGGAGGCTGATTGGGGAATGATGGGAGTTTCAGTCTTAACTGGGAGGCATCTAGTTAAGGAAGGCTGGGCTGGAAAATAACTAGGATTGATAAGTTGAAATAGAGATCCAGCATCTCCTGACATTTGGTGGCAAAAGAAGGGACAGCAGCCAATTTTTGAGTTCTCGGGGCCCACAAATACTCAGATGTTTCCCTTACTTGACCTTACATGCATTCATCTTGCAGGAATGCCATTTGATATCTGGCAGGGGAGCTTCTGACCAGCGACATATAGTTGTTATCTAATAGAGCAGATCAAAGGTTATATTTTTTTTTCCCTTGTTGTTAAAGCATGACGGCTGAGTTCGAAGGAACCCAGAATTCTGTGCTTGATCTTCCCACTGCTCAAGAGGATCAGAAGAGAATTGATTGCAGGCATCCTGTGGATAATATCTGTAGACTGGAAGAAGTCCTTTCTGGAGCAGGTAAGGAGCCTGATCTCTTGGGTCTAGTGAAGAACTGCAGAATTATCCTGGACTCTTCCATTCAGTGGTTGATTTATATATTACTTTTATATCACATTTTTCCCATGGAGCTCAGGAATCACCATTATCATCCCCCCCCCACCCCAAAACCAAAGAATAACAGTTAAAAAATTCAAATGGACCCCAAATCCAGATAGATTCCATGTTAAAGTCTGTATTGGCTCATTGCCACTTATGGCATTCTCTTGTTTAGTACATCTGGAAGTAGCCAATGGATTTGCTCCTCATACTTGCTGGGTTTTCGCTTTCCATGCATTATTTCTACTGTATGGGCCTCCTGCCAAAATGATCTAATTTATTGAGCGCTTGTTTTTTTTCGTTCTGCTTTTTCCAGAGGCATTGGCTGATCCTGCTCTGGAAAGGCAGGGCTTTGGAGCAGATGCCATGGGGCCTAAATCTCCAGATGCCACTGCCCCTTCCAGTCCCAGGAAGCAAGAGCATCAACAAGGAAACTCTGCAAGACATGAGAACGGATTTGTCAGAGGGCAACAGGGGCTGGCATCGGCTGATTCCAAAGAGGTAAGACTTTCCCCCCAGCTTTTACTAACTTACTGGTTTGTTTAGGACTAACACCTTCACAGGGAAGATGCTAATATAAGAGGCATTTTATGTGAGATTTACATATATTAGGACCGTGCAAACAAATGCTACGTTTTAATTTTTGATTTACAAAATGGATTTGAATGCACACATCCAAATCCAAACGTTTAATCGCATTGATTAGTTCACATGCACATATGGTACTTCCTTGTCCAACCTGTTGCCACTCGGCCTCAGAAGAACTGGGTTTGGGAGGAAAGAGTAGAGAAAGTTGTGTTTTTGAAAGAGGGTTGCATATTTCAAGTCCCTCATCAATCATGTCACCTTGTTTTCTTCTCTCTCTATGTGATCCCTACAGGGCAGCGCTGAAATTCGAAGGAGGCAGAAGGGTAAGTAGAACCTCTCTGTATTCACCAAGGGCTGGGTGCCTGAATATCAAGCTACGGGTACCCATCAACTTATGACCACAGTTGGGACTGGAACTTGGTGCATAAGCGCACCAACGTGCCTACCGTCCCTGTCCTATTGTTTCTCTTATTCTTCTTTTATTTTTCTTATATGTACCCATTTCATGTATTCACAACTATGTATACACTTATACTTATTATCTTGTAAACAATTGGCAAATCAAATAAATAAATAAATAAATAATAAAAATAAATAAATTATTAAGTGATATGGCCATTAAGTGAGTCATCACATGAGCACACCCAATTTTATGATCTATTTTGCCATGGTCATTAAAGGTGCTTTTTCAAGGGGCAACTGGACTTTCTGGTGAAGACTTTCTTTGAAGACGTTTCGCTTCCCATGCAAGAAGCTTCTTCAGCTCTGAGACAAAGAAGCTTCTTGGATGAGAAGCAAAACATCTTCAAAAGAAAAAAAAAACCCAGAAAGTCCAATTGTCCCTTGAAAAAGCATCTTTGGGACATCCAGACCTGGATGACTGAGATTTTCCATAGACCACACGATCGTTAAGCAAATCTAGTTTCCCAAATTGACTTTGCTTGTCAGAGGTTGGCTGAGAAGGTTGCAAATGGTGACCACAGGACCCGGAGTCTGCAACCCTTATAAATTCCTGCCAATTGCAAAGTGCCCAAATTGTGGTCATGTCACTGCAGGGATGCCGCAACACTTGTGAGAGGACCAGTCATAAATCAATTTTTCACCACTGTTGTAACTTCGAATAGTTACTAAACTAAGGATCATGAATGAAGGATTTTGATACACTACCCCACCCCCCCAGATGGCTGGGGAATTCTGGGAGTTGAAGTCCGCAGGTCTTAAAGTTGCCAAGGTTGGACATCCCTGAGTGAACTCCTTCCAAAGTCAGCAAGATACGGCGCATGTGTCTGGATGTGCACCATGTGCAGGTGTGAATGTGCACTGTGTGAGAGCAGGATCTCTTCTAACTCCACCAATTCTTTCATTCCCTCAATTGAACTTAACTGTGGTGTGTTAGGCAATCTTTTTTTTTCCCTTTTGCTTTAATGAGGAGTCACTACCCGATTAAGTCGTCGACGCATCTCCTGCCAGGAACTGGGACAGGTGGACTGTGACGGTTGGCTCTTAAAAAAGAAGGATCACATGGGCTTCATGGCCCAGAAATGGAAACGGTTTTGGTTCGTGCTGAAAGGACACAACCTTTACTGGTACAGCAACCCCAAAGTGAGTGCATTCCAAGATACTTAAACTCAAAGAGAGGCTGGACTTCCTTTGCCGCGTATCAGTTTTCCATTTATTTTTTAAAAACCTTGTTAAAAATAACAACAATGCATGGATAGGCCAAGATAATAACTTTATGAGTGAGTGCCACTAAATGAGCAAGGCCACTATTTTGGAGATGCCCTCACTTATAGCATGTTAGAGATTGAGTTCTTGAGGGATGTTACGCCCAGGAAATTATAAGCCCTTCAAAATGTCAAGGTCAGGGGGTATGTTTTCCCATTTCAAGTAGTTACCACGTGGATTGGAAGATCCACATCAAAATGTTCTCTTCCATTTCCAGAAAGATTTGAGGAAAACACAGGAGAGAGAGAAGGGAGAGGAAGAAGAGGAGGGGAGGAAAGAGGGAGGGGAGGGAGTTGGGACCAGTCCCTTTCTTTCAGCCCAGCCTCCTTCACAGGGTTCTTGTTGAGAAAACAAATGGAAGTATTATGCATGTTGCTTAGAGTTGTGCAAAAAGATGGAATATAAGTTTGATAATAAATCAGTGATTGCTTTAGCCTGGCCTTCACCAGTCTTGACTTCCAGTTATGTTGCATTTCAAAAGATACACACGTTTTGCTAGTTAGCCTGCATGGATTTTTCACACAGACAGTGTGGTACAGTGGTTAAGGTGCAGGAGGATGATTGGGAAGATCCAGCTTCATAGAAATTCCTTGTGGAAAGATGGAAAGGAAGTGTATGCTTGCTGCTTGAGTTCTCGATGGGATGCAAACATAAAAAAGTGAATTTTTAATTCAACTTTTTAAAAAGCAGTATCTATTCCCTAAAGGTTTGTTTTGGTTGTTTGATCTGGGTCACTGAATATTTTAGAGCTTCTTTGTACAAAAGGCAGCAAAGAGAGCAGTTCATCGCATGGATGGTTCTCGGTTGTTCCTTTAAGAGTAGCCAATGTTACCTTGTCACAAGCGTCTGTAGATCAAATCCTCTTGAATGGAGGAACTCCAGTCTTTTCCATTCATTCAGTGAAGTCTGGCTTCATTTTTTTTTTAAAATGTGTGATAGATTAAAAGTCTTTAAAATGTCCCAAACCCTTCTGTTTGTGGCCAAATATTAATACTTCTACCTCTTTTCTTTTTTTCTTTCTTTCCTCTTCCTTTTCTGAAAACCAGGATGAGAAGGCTGTGGGATTGGTCAACGTATCTGCCTACAGACTGGAGAGCACCAAGGAACAGAAAAAGAAATAGTGAGTGCAAACTCAATGGAGCCATTTTCTGAGAAGGAACAAGCTGTCAATCCGTTCTCCAAGGCTGAAGTCCTTCAGATATGTTAAACTCTCATAATTCCAGCTAGAAGAGATCCTTCAGCAGTTTGTGGGCTCCAAATGTATTTGGTGTCAGGAGTCCGACATGCACCCCCATTCGAATCATAAGTCCCTAGCCGCATATCTCAGAGTGAAAAAGATTGATTTATTAGGAGTTGAATATTGCCGTTTCCCAGTTGCAGCTGACTCTGACACATCATTCATTTCACCCTTGACCCTGGTCTTCCCCCCACCCCCTGGATGTCTATTCTCCAATGAGAGACATCCATAGCCAAGAGTCATCAATTATGCTCTCCAGTAATAATTTGGCATGCCAGAAGCTTCGGTTGCCAAAGTGATTATCTGAAGCCTTTAAGGAATGCACTGCTTTCCCTACTCCCTTTCTGCTGACAACTAAAAAGTATTTTTAGTTGACATTTGGTTTATTAATTGACAAGGTATACCCACTAAGAGCAAACTGGATTTCTGTGTTAAATCCTTACATAGCCTACAAATTACCATTTGTATATCCGAGGGCACTATGGGTAGGCTTGAGGGAACCATACACTTTGCAAAATTCAAGGAGGGGAAGTCACACTGATTACACAATCCTTTCCAAGCTTCATATGCAACTGTATCCATGCAGATTGATAATTAGGTATAGGTGTGATTCCCAATAGCAAGGAATTGTGAGAAATCCCACTACTGTCACTTCTTTTTCCTCTCCAGTGTTTTCCAACTCACCCATGAGAAGTACAAGCCCTTCATCTTTGCAGCAGAAACCCTGGCTGATCTGAGCATGTGAGTAGCCTCTAATGCGTTTGATTGACACTCATGAAGAGCTTGAGATTGTTCCTCAGGGAATATTAGCAGATCTTTCATGCAACTCCATCATAGAGGGTCACAGGAGCAGAGAAGTAGGCCCGGTCACTTTCTGTTCATCTCCCCAACTGGCAGAACCTATTAATTTATATTTAATTTATCAGTTCATCTGTGCAACACAGTTCCTTTTAGAATTTTTTTTTGTAATCAAAGTTATGGAAACTTGGAATGCTGTACTTCACGAGGACACGAGTGGAAATACATTCCTATGCTCGGCTATGGAAGGGGATGATGGAGGGACTGATCTAGGAAGAAAGCTGCCCAGAAATGCCTTACCAGAGAGATGGGTGGCATAAAATTTAATAAATAAACAAACAAGAGAAACTGATCATCACCATCTCCATCAAAGCCTGAAGTATCAAAGAGCTTCTCCAACCTGAGCGGCATTTTCATTCTGGATCTTCCTGTTTAAACAGATTGTTGCTGATGAAATAAAACAGGGAAGGAAAGCACTATAAACAGGCAGCTTTCTCTGAAATTTTTGCTGATTTGATTCCAGCCAGAATCTACCAAAGATATAAGGGAGTGCTCGTTACCAGCAAATTTTGCAGACAGATTCTTGAAGCTGCTGGCCTTTGGCAAATTCCAGAAGCATAAAAGTTTAGCAACAAAGCCTTAAAAAGGCATTGCTTTAAAGACAAATTTGTTTTCAGCATTTTCATATTCATAGCATTTCATGTTGCAAGGAAGACACCTGGGAACCTGGGAAAATTACAAGCTGTGTTTCTTCCCAGGTGGGTCAGCCGTTTGATCACATCAATGACCAAATATACAGTGTCCTGTAAATCTGGGCCATCTAACCAAGAAGGTGAGTGCCTATTGAAAGTTGTTCATTTTTTAGTGACCAAGTAGACATGATACACCTGCATCACATATATTAAATAAGGAATTGACCTGAAAACAAGAAGCAAGATGACCCTGAAGCAAGAGGACAATTCTATAACACACACACCCAAAAAATCAGACAGACAAAAATATCTGCCTCCATAGTTAAGACAGCAATAGCAATAGGAGGTATATATACCACTTCACAGTGCTTTACAGCCCTCTCTAAGTGGTTTTACAGAGTCAGCATATTGCTCCCAATAATCTGGGTCCTCATTTTACCAACCTTGGAAGGATAGAAGGCTGAGTCAACCTTGAGCCGGTGAGAATCAAACTGCTGAACTGCTGGCAATTGGCAGTCAGCAGAAGTAGCCTGCAATACTGCATTCTAACCACTGCGCCACCACAGCTCTTAGATTAGGGGAAACGGGAAGGAATATGATGGCTGGGGATGATAGAATGAAGATGGAGATGGAGGCAGAAAGCTGGTGCGATGCAGTTCATCCCGTTTCAGAGTTTCCATTCAATTTGCTTTTTCTTCTGGACTCATTCTGACTTAGATTGCTACAGCGAAACGGAAGCAGAAGATCACGAGGATGACTCTCCTAGGCATAACTTTGATCAGGTCAATATCTTCTTGATGGAGCATAATTGTAAAAATAGTGGGCTGTTTTTATTTTAAAATATCTTGATGCCTTTTATAAACTCGTTTGGGACTTTATTATTTGGGGGAAATGAGAGGCAACTACAACAGGCATATTGTGATTTCCAAAAAGAGGACCTGATCCCAGCATGCAAACTTAAGGTGGGAATCCGTGCATTTGGCTGGGAGGGATTGCAAAGCAACCATTGAAGAGATCACTGCAGAACAATGTTGGATGTAATGAGGTTGAGCTCAAGGGGGATCATATTTACTTATATTTCATCTGCATCCATTATTTTTGTTCTTCATTTCTGGCAGACAAAGCAGAAGGAATTGGAGAAAGCTCAGTTGCCAACAGGGGCTACTAGGAGTAGCCAAAACCTTCTGGGCAGCCCACTTTTCCAGGACAATGTAGATGAGAAAACAGCACCTCCCTCTTCTCCAGGTGAGCTCACCTTTGGTACCTTCCCAAGTTGCACTGGAAAGAACGTAGCAGGTGAAATGTTGGGGAAAAAGCAACTATAATTGTACATCATTCCTAAAGCAGAGAGATGAAATGGTGCAGATTTCTCTATAGGTTTTCTGAAGTGTTCCCTTAGCAAAGGCAAATAGGAAAAAGGTAAGCTAGAATAGTTGAACATCTCTAAGCGGATGAACTGAAACAGAGAAAATTTGGTATGAAACTTTAGGCCAGCTTTCTCCAACTGGAATTATTCAAATATTTCAGACTACAGTGTTCATCTTCCTCTGCCAAACTGACAGGGAGTATGGGCATGTGTGTGCATATGTCAATAGCCAAATGAAGATTTGGCAACTGTTTTTATTTTCATATTGAGTGTGTTCTATTGGTACTATTATTTAGGACATCCTCATGCCAATAAATGTGAACAGATGGTGCCATTCTGTTCTTGACAAAGCCCCTTTCTCCCTCTTTCTATCACCCTTTTCCTTCCTTCTCTCTTTTCCCAAGTAGCAGGCTGGCTTCATGGCTCTGAAGGTCTGAATTGCTAGTCTGCACAGAAATAGAGGACGTTTTTAGTTGATGGAGTTAGCAGAGGTGGCCAAATTGATTGCTCTGATTAAAGAAAAGAACACAATTTTGTACTTACTTGGAAACAGCTTTTGGACTTTGTGTTTGAGGTGGAAACTTTAATTTGGGGTTTTGCTGATTAGATAGGTTTGTTGTTATAGGAACGGCTAGTTTATGTTCTTATATAAAAGTAAAAAGTTGAGGTTTGATGTTACACGATGGTATCTTGTATCTTATGAAGATCCAGCAGAAGAAGAGCTTCAGGCAATGATCAAATGTCTGAAACAAGGAGGAGTATCTCTCATTGGGAAGCAGCAGGTGTTCACCCGCGAATATTACCGGAAATCATTTGTCAAACGTAACAAGAACCCAGAGATCAACGAGAAAGTACATCTGATTCGGACGCTTCAAAGCACACTCAAGGCAGGTGGAACATAAATTTGTGCTGAGAAAGAGCTCTATTTATGGGATGGATGCCTTGCGGGGTGGGGGAGGGTTGGTAGGACTTGTTTTATGGTTTGTTGGGTTTGTTTTTGTTTTTGTTTACTGAAAGAAAGTTATGGAAGATGGAGGTAAATTAGTCCATTTACAACTGTAATATACTTCACTAAATAGGCACAAAAGAGGAAAATCCTTTTTTTAAATATATATTTTAATGGCTACTTTTCTTGAATCCTAGCCTGCAAAATGTGTGAAATGTGGATTTTATTTTTTATCATATTTTACTTTTCTTGCAAAGACAGTGGCATAAATAATTCCGTCTCTTGCTTGCTTGAGCCTCACAATAATCCTTTGGAGAAGTAAGGCAGACCATAATTAGCCCACTGTCATGATTATATAGAGATTTAACTCAGGATCTCCCCAAGACCCATACAACACACTTAGCTGGGAGGTTTCGGGATAAATCCTGAAAAGGATTCCTGGAATAACTCTCCTTTTTGAAACCTTAATGGGGCTTAACAAGAGCTGAAGGCCTTATAAGATCATATGCTGAACTTATCACTAAGAAGGCTATAAGAATTTGCTTCAGATGACATATATTGGGGATATCACTGAGAGGACGGGAATAGCATTTGTTCTAAGCGGAGAATCCTGAGTTCAATTCTTGGGTTTTTCCAAATAGGAAAAATAGATGTGTCTGAAATCCTGCAGATCCATACCGTAGTGGAAAGTACCACATAGGGCCACCAGAGTTCTCAATCAATAAAAGGAGCTTCTATACTGCTGATATATCACTGTCAGATTGTCTCTGGGTCCAATGCAAGGTTTTGATGTGCTCCTTTGATGTGCTCCTTGTAACCCAGATCAATCTGAGACCAAAATATTTTAATATCAAAGGAGATTTTTTTAATGTCATGCCTGGTGTCCATCTGACCTCTTGCCCTGGTATCCAGGCCAAGTGTCCAGCCCATGTGAGGCAGATACAGATACAGATTATCAGAGTTGGAAGGGACCTTGTAGGTCATCTAGTCTAACTCTCCACCCAAGCAGGAGACCCTGCCTACACCATTTCTGACAGATGGCAGTCCAGTCTCTTCTTGAAAGCTTCCAGTGATGAAGCTCCCACAACTTCAGAAGGCAACTTCTGTTCCATTGGTTGATTGCTCTGACTGTCAGAAAATTTCTCCTTATTTCCAGGTTGAATCTTTCCTTGTTCTTTATAAAGACTTCCTCAACTGTGTGGGCTTAGGCATACCTGATTTGCATAATAATGTCTTTTTACTCCAAGGAAAGATAGTCCTCTTTTAGGCTTAATAACGTAAGAGGTTGAACCAATCTGGCACAATGGATTTGATGTTTCCTCTGCTGTTTTTGAACAGCATTTTATTTATTTGTTCATTTATTTATTTATTTTTCCTTTTAAAGGTTTAGAAAATGTCAATAGTTTTAAATCCTTTTGGAATCTGGCCAGACACTTTTGGCTCTTGGATGCATTAGAAATATCATGAATAAAGTCAATACGACTTCAAGGGAGAACAGTTTGTAACTGGAAGTTTATTAGTATATCGGGTGTTTTGCTTCTCAAGACCCCAACATATTTTGCGACAGCTTTGTAAGGGTGGTGGGCCCTTGTCTCTCTTGAAAGGGATCTAGCAAACCATTTAAAAGCCACTCCAAATGGCTGTGCTATTTTGGCCTCTCTTGTCCTTGTAAAAGTGAGTCATGCGCCAGCCTTAGAACATTCCTTTCCTTCCCCAGGCCAAAACTGCTGAGCTCCAATTACTTGATATTCTACTCGAGGACACCGAACTGAACTCTGAAAAATTCAAGAGCTGGAAAGAACAACATCAGGAGTTATACCAGGAAATACAGATGTGGTGGGCTAAAAAACTGGACCAAGACAATGGCTCACTAGATTCAAGTTTTGACCTCAACTTGGAGGCAGCTGCAGATCCGTAACATCTGTGGGACCTCTGTCCTGTGAGCTAAAACCTTCTTCCCCCAGCTCCACTTACACAACACCAGATAGAAGTGCAGTTTTGTCATTTCTAATTTTTGGATAGGGATGTGTTATGACAAGCTTCATCTTTAGAGGGCATTGGGATTACAGTTGGGTTGGTCTAAAAGTTTTATCCAGACAACAACAATAGCTCCAAATGATTCTCTCATTTTAGAGAGATGGATTGTAAAGATGGTGGCAATGGAGAAAGATTGTTGGCTTTTTATGTAACGATGGAGATTTCCCAACTGCAAAATAGAAGACCAACGAAGAAGAAAGTGGCTAAGCATCTGGGAAAGAAGCTGGCATTGACTAGCACAGACTTTGCGCCCTTCAGATTTCTTCAAAACAAGCCATTTCCTCCAGCATCTTTCAAAATGAAACTTTCCCTTGAGTATATTCAGCAACTGAGAGACATCTGAGTAAACCAGTTTGTGGTTTTCAATAATGATAGTTTATATTGAAAACCAACTTGCATTAGAAGCGGGATACTGTAAACATGTAAGAAATGAGTTATATAAATAATTGTCACAATATGTTTGTAGTCACAATATGTTTGTATAATTAAAGGTAGTTTAATTATTTTTCCCCTTATTTTTATTTTCAAAATGACCATTTGCCAACAATCCAGCTGCAATGCAACAGAATGAATAATAATGGCATTTAGAGTTATATACTGCCCCATAGTACTTTTCAGCACTCTCTAGGTCACCAGGATCAATGTTTTTATTGAAATTACTAAGGCTGTTTGGTTTTTACTAAGAGAATTGGAAGACAATATAGTTGTGAACCATGAGATGTCTTAAGTTAATAAGCACTGAAACACAGATGAGCATTCCTCTATATCGTTTACTCTTTTTGGTTTAGGAGAGAGAGAAATTCAGGTAAATGTGCAAGGCAAAACTGATAGAATAGTGATACATACATTGTATGTTTGCTGCAGTTCTAACCGTGGGACCTAATGAAATGTTGATGGTACTGTAACATGAGGGGAAGAATAGTAAAAATTAAAACCCAGAGCCAACTAAAATTTTCCGGAACTTTCATTAACACATATTCAATATATCGTGTTAAATTTGACTAACTGAAGTATGTTGTCTGCACAGAAATGGATGATGTTTTGAGCCTCTTAATACACATTGCAATGTTAGCTTGCGGTCCCTAGAAACTTGAAGTAAAATCTTTCAGGATTCTGCTATTAGGTGGTTAAATACTATGCTGTATGTAGTGTGCAATTGCAAGAACTTTTCTCATTTCTTTGGATTATTCTCCAGTTGCATCCTGAAGGCAATTTTAATTCACTGTGGTATCTTGTGTCTTATGAAGATCCAGCAGGGTCACTGATCAAGTGCCTGAAACAAGGAGTATCACTTGATTTATTTTATTATTATTATTTTCCAAAGCACCAGAAGGCAAGACAAGAAACAATGGATGGAAGCTAATCAAGGAGAGAAGCCACTTGGAATTAAGGAGAAACTTCCTAATAGTGAGAACAATTAATCAGTGGGTCAGTTTGCCTTCAGAAGTTGTGGGTGCTTCATCACTAGAGGTTTTTAAGAAAATAAATGGACAGTCACTTGTCTGGAATGGTATAAGGCAGGGCTGTCAAACTCCTGGCCCATGGGCCAGATGTGTCATGTGCTGGACATGCCCACACCTGGTTCAGTGAAGGGGAAAAAAGTCCCAATACATCACATGATGCTGCCGTGACATGAGTTTGACACCCCTGCTATAAGGACTCCTGCTTCAGCCAGAGGGTTGGACCTTCTAGCTTTATTCTGACAGGAATAATGTGTAGAAATGCTTGGTTTGCAGTGGCTCAAGTCTAGGCAACCACATTTCTTCTTTAACTGTAGAAAGCCAGTTTGGTGTAGTGGTGAAGATGCTGGCTTAAAAACCAGGGAACTCTGAGGTCTAGTCCTGTTTTAGGCATGAAAGCCAACTAGTGACTTTGGGCCAATCCTTCCCTCACAGATCAAAGCACCTCACAGGGTTGTTGTGAAAAAAATAGCAAGCTGGAGTACTGTATTAGGCATGTTTGCTACCTTGAGTTGACATACATATATATTGTACATAGGTCATGTGTATACTGTATGCAGGTGTGTAAATTCCTATAAATATGTAAAAAGGCAGGATAAAATTGAATAATTCAGATTAATGGAATAGCTCATTTTATAGACCTCCTCCCAGTCCCATCCCCAAAAAACCTCACGCTTGCCTTTCTCACCCCACTGCCCTTTTTTAATTTGTGCATTTGAACCTTCTATCATTTTTTTTTAAAAAAGACAGATTTAGCTGTTCTGCCTTTTGTCCAGTAAAAAAATGGTAACGCTGACAGAGGAGGGGCGAGTTTTACCAAGCAACAGGTTCCCCATCACATCGCCCCTAAGAGAAGCAACATCATCTAATCCAGGGATCTCCAACCTTGGCAACTTTAAGCCTGGTGGACTTCAACTCCCAGAATTCCCCAGCTTTGCTGGCTGGGGAATTCTGGGAGTTGAAGTCCTCCAGGCTTAAAGTAGCCAAGGTTGGAGACCCCTGACAACTTAGGTCCATTCTTACATGATTTTTACAGTTTTCCTACGGCCAGCGGCAAGGAACAATTTTCTTCTGCTCTCAATTTAAATTGGGGCGAGGGGCGGAGCTTGTTGCCAAAAGAGAATTTCCATTGGACAACCGCGGACGGTTCTACTCTGGGGGTGAAGACCAATAAAGAGACAGCGGGCCGGACGCCGCGAGCCCGCGCTCCTGGGATGTCGTAACCTCCTGCTGGCAACGGTTGCTGCGCACGCGCGGTAGCCCACGGCTCGGGGAGGGCGGGCAGGCTTATCGCCAAGGTCTCTGAGGCGCTGTTTTTTCGCTGGCGGTGGTCGTTAGTCTCCATTTAAAGTTCTCTTAAGTGGAGGCCCGAGGTTCCCTCGGAGGTAATAATCAAAAATTACTTTCTCCTTTTGGTTTAAAAGTTTCCAGCCCTGAAGAGTTTCTCGTTTTCCTTCCCTCAGTGCTTCAACCTCTGGAATTGATATCTCTGCTTTTTTCTTGGGGGCGGGGGGCGGGGGGGGGACGGAAAGTGAAATTATGTATCAATTGGATACTTTGCCCCAACTGGAGCGCTCGAGACAGCGCGAACTACAATGTCCATCTTTCATAGCCTTCACTTTCAGGCTGTAGATAACGGGAGTTGATGTCTGATGGGTCGAAAGGACTACAGGTTGGGGGAAAGCGGCTTATTCTGGAGCATGCGCAGAACTGGTGCTAGAAGGGGGTCTTGTTGCATTGGGGAAGCACACAACTTCCCCATACACACACACACACACGTATCCCCCCCCCCAACTTTGGGCCATCAAGCTTGTTGGAGAGATACTCCTGGTATATAATGGTGACATGAATGATTTATTTACAGGTATAGTCCTCCACTTGGGACCACAGTTGAGCCCAACGTTTCTGTGGTTAAGTGAGTATTCCCCCATTTTGTGACCTTTCTTGCCACAGCTGTTAAGTGAATCATTGCTTTTGTTAAGTGAATCTGGCTTCCCCTTTGACTTTGCTTGTCAGAAGATCCCAAAAGGTGATCACATGACCCTGGGATACTGCAATTGTCATAAATACATGCCAGTTGCCAGGGGTCTGAATTTTGTTCACATGACCGTGGTCAAACATCCTGGTCAAAGTGTCTTCTGGACATACATGAGATTTTGGGAAGGTTTCAGATCAGTTGGAGAGCTTTGACTCAGCTGCCTCTACCTTGGTCTGATTGCATCAAAGTTTTGAAGACCTGATCAGAACAGAAATCCATGAAAGCAGTCACCAGAATTGAAGCTTAATTTAGGAAGATTATTACCTTTTTATATTTATGAAAGTGTTATATTGTTTCTGTTATGTTCAACTCCCTAGGTACGGATCTGAACATTCCAGATCAACCTGTGGTTTTTAGAGAGAAGTGTTTATCATAAATCAAGAATGGCTGCCTCTGGGGGAACATTTATTGGAGCCCCCCCATCAAGCAATAATGATGGTAATTTTTTACTTTGATCTCTTAATTCTTAGAATCCCTTTAATTTTTTTAACTCCCCGTATTAGATGAAATTGTAAAAATCTTGAGACAAATAATACACTCAGTGAGGACCAATAAATTGAAGAACAGCTCCAACAGTTTGTGCAGGTTGCTACAGATTAGCCTGATCAGTTAAGTGGATCACATTCAGAAATTCAGCCTCACAATTCTGTCTCCTCCATATATTCAGGCATGGAGATCTGAAAGGCAGTTTAATTTCATGTGTACAACTGAGTCTCTAAAGCATTGTCTCCTTCTGTGTGTGCTAGCCTGACAGGTCTTTTAATATTTGGATACCTTTCTCCAAATACTTGTCTTATTAGACATTAAAGAAGAAGTACTATTTAGTGCCAGGGATAGTCTTCCTAGGAAGTTTTATTTAACATTTCCCCCCTTATTTTGCTTTTCCTTTCAAATTAAAATTGATTCCTGGATTTGACACAGACATGTCTATGCAGTTTTTTTGGCAATATTTTCCCCCCAGAAATGGTTTGCCATTGCCTTCTTCCTGGGATTGAGAGGGAATGACTGAACTAATATCACCCACTTGTCTTCTGTGGCAGGATTACAAGTCAGATTCCCATGTTTCTAGTCCAGTATCTTAACCACTAGATCAAACTGGCTTTCTCTTAACTAAAACATAAACAGCACTAATCTACTTTTCTGCATTGCCTTACTAGACAAATTTTTGATCAATCCATTTTTCTCACATTTTTAAAAAGGATTTTAGCAGTTTATCTAAAGTTAACTTCACAATCCACTTCCTAATAATCTGATTTGGTGTTATATATACATTTGAAATTTATATGATGAATCTCATGAGAGAGAAACACTGTTAGAACACCATGCCCCTTGCAGTTTAGTATAGCTGCTGTTGTTTTTCCTGTATTGAAATCTGAGAGCTACTAAGAATAACTTCATACGACCATCTAGTTAGCTCTGGTATTTCCACGTCAGTATTTTCAGCATTCAACTTCTTATCCCATATAATGATTTGCAAAAACGTACACCTATTTTCGGAAGAGCCTGGTGCCGACATAGAACCATTTACTGCATTTTCATAGCAGTAACTAGTTAACTGTTTCCTTGGAATAGTAGCCTGTTCCTTTATATATCTGGAAACAAATGAGGATTTCAATTCAGTGGATGGGAGTATAATTAAGATCTAAGTAAGTTTTGACATTTTCTAAAGCTTTAACTTGTGTTTTATGAGCAACTAAAATGCTACATGATTACAAAGTCTTATTTAATCAAAAAGGCTTAATCTGATTGCCTATCTAGATTTTATTATTAGTCATAACACTATACATTAAGAAAGCTAATGATCATTATTATAATTACTATAAGCAGTAATTATCTGTTCTGGGCAATTTTCTGGATACTTGGTATACACAAAAGCCAGGGTAAGGGAAATATCAGCTGATCTATAAAATTTCATTTTTAATTCCGGTATTGTTTTTTCTTTTCTAGCATCCAGCAGTCTCAACTATGGTTCTTCATTTCAACCCATCAAAACCCAAGTGCCCATTCCTACAGCTCATGTCATGCCCTCCACATTGGACAGATCAACTTGTCTAGCAAGTGAATTAAGCTCTCCTCAGACCACTTTGGCTTCCTCCATGTCAAATTTACTGGGTAACGTGGGAGGACTGATGTCCAGCTATGACTCTGATACTTTGAGGCAATCCCAGGTGATCAACCGGAGTTCTCTTTGTCTGAATCAGACTTCAGCAGAAAATGGTTACAATGAATCCTTGTTTCATACTTCTGGTCAGTCAGGTGTGGAAGGTGTTCAGAAACCTATCAGCCTAGATGCTGAAGTCACCCATTCTGCTTTTCTAAATAGGCATTCTCTTGGTCCTTGGTCCCAACTCCAGATGTACACTCCAGACAATTCAAATAGCACTTCTGCTGGCCTAGAAAAGGAATACAATAAAATACTGCAGAATACTAAACCACCAACAGATTACAATAGAGTCTGTGGAAAGCAAGTATCCTTGGGACTTAATGCTGCTAGTATGTTTTCCACCCCTTTGGCTGCTCAATCTCAAACATCAAAGCTGGAAGCTTGTACACTACATCCACATGAAAATTGTGCACACAGTGCTTGGAAACAACATATAGATTGTGTTCGGCTGCAACTGGAACAAATGCATGTAAGTTATTTTAATCTCTGTCTATAGGGAATGTCTGCATATGTAGTGTTTCTGCCTGTAACTTTTCTGCCAAGGCTCATGAGTATGTTGACCAGAGCTAATGTTGCATATAATTTTTAAAGTGAACAAATGCTGAATGAGAATCCTTAGAAACGTCTTAATTTAAAAGCCTGATGTATTCTAGTATTTACCTCTGGAGAAATAATCTCCTAAATGCTTTTATTGTAGAATCAAACCTTTAGGAAAGAAAACAAGGACTTGATGGCTGTAGATTTAGCTTTATAGGCTTTTGAAAAGTGGTGGCACTATACATTTTCAAGGAGAGGTTGCAGGTAAAAGATATAGTATGACACATGGGCAATATTTCATTAAACACAAATCAATACAAGAAAAATACAAATATATATTACCAAATTAAAAAATGCAATCTCAAAATTGATAAGTATAATAATTTAAAGAAAAATAGGGCATGGAGTAGAAATTAAAATTGTTATTAATAGTTCCAAAAACTATTATGATAATCCTTGAAAGTCTCTTGATTGAAAAAAAGACAAATGTTGACAAAATAATATCAACAGTCCATCATTTCAAATTTGGTGTAGATTTACCAGTATTGTATAATTATTTTATGCCAAGTTCATATATAGACAGATTCAGCCAAGATAAATATTCATCTGCAAAATCCAGTGATCAATCCAGAGTCATATTAACAATATTATTTATGTCAGCCAAAATGCAACATTAATAAGCCAGAACCAAATTTTTGAGAATTAGATGTTGTTCAAATGAGTTCAGGATTGCTTTGTTGAGTTAAATTTTGCTGCTGTTGACTTCTATTTTCTGAACAGAGTGACTTGTTAACTTGTTTCAAGGAGCTCTGCCATAAAATATGCATTATCTTCTAGATGCTTTATAGTGGCACACAATAATATGAAATTATGTCACAGACTATATATGCCTGATGGTGTTTGGATATAGACTGAAATAAGTTTCCATGTTTTAACATATGGAGAAGAGGACAAAAAAAATCTAAACACAATCCTCTTCCCCCCCAAATCTAACACTGACACTCATGCCTTGTTTCTGAATTTCATAATTCCAGCTGCAAAATAAAGCAACTTGTTACTATCCTTTGGTGAACAGTACTTCACTGCACACACTTGATCCAGCTCAGTGGATTGGCATTACAAATACAAATGAAAATTTGCTCCTGGAGAAAGAAATACTCATTGACAGGTAAGAAATTAAACATTAGTTTACCTTCTAGATTTTTTCACTAGGAAATAACAATGCTTAGATTGTATTTCATATTGATAGAAAAGTAAACAATCCTTGGCATAATAAACTTCACTGAATACTCTACAACTTACTTATGAGTGGTTAAGCTTATGTTTTATATTTCCATGGAAGAAATTATTATATTGTTCAGACTATTTTTGCCCAAACACCAAACAGTTTTGGTGTTTGCTGTGTCAAAAACATAGGAATAGTGGGGAAGAACACCACTTTTTAAACAGAGGTTTTCTTCCTTCTCTCAATTAAATAGGAAGTGCATGGCTTCTTCTGGTTACACTAATACCCTGTTTCTCCAACAATATGGCCTCCCCCAATAGGAAGTCCCAGCATGTTTTATAGGCATGAAATGAAATTAAGCCCCGCCCCCCAAATTAAGGCCTATATTAAAACATGCAAAATGGGGGGAATGGTGGGGGGGGGGGCTTGCCATTAGGAAGTACTTTTGTTGCACCCCCAGATATGGTGCTGCCTGCGTTGACCCCGATACGAAGTGCCCCACCAATGCCGAGGTCAACATCCAAGCCATCGCCGCCCGCCCGAAGATGCAAGGGGGGGAATTAAGTCACCCCCAAAAAAGACAGCCTAGCCATTTTTTCAGGGCTCAAAAAAAAATAAGACCCGGCCTTATATGAGAAACACGGTATGTAGCTCGTCTTTTAACTAGAATAACAAATATTTTGCTTCTAGGGTGAGTTGTGATTTCTCTTGAGTGCATTTAATTGGCTTTTATTGACTTACGAGGGGAATTGTGGAAGTGGATAACTTTCTCATTTAGCTTTTCCCCATACATCACTCTGTGAGTCCGTGTATTGATTTCCTGCTCAGTTCTAAAATGAAAAAAATAAATGCTATTTAACCATTTTACTGAAAGCCCTCTCATGTTCCCTTTTATACTTTTAATTTTGTCAGTGTTAATATACTGCACGGGTTTATTCTCATAGGCAGAGACAGCACATTTCCCAGCTGGAGCAGAAACTACAAGAAAGTGAAATGCAAGTCCACAGTGCCCTCTATGGCCATCCTGCTCCTTATGGGGACATGCATCTGTTCAGAATGCAGGTAACCCTTATAACTGGTGGCACTTGAAATATGCTATTGGGGAAAGGATTTTAAATTCAGTGCAGGGTTGGAGGAGACATGGATGGAGAAGAAACATGCCGTGTAGCTGCTCCTTCAGGAACCTTTAATTTCTGCAATTATTTTTTTCTTTAAAATTCCTTTTATTGGAGTCAAGGCAACTTACTGGAGCTGAGCTTTGGCCGGATGCCCTTCCTGATGCCTATGCAGCAAATACTTTCTTTTTGTGCCCTGGTAGAGAAACACCTGCCGCTGCCTAGGACTTGCACTCTTAGCCTCCTGAATATGAGGCGAGCATCTTCACTTCTAGGCACTCAGGTGTTTTCTGTACAGGTGTTTTGTTCCCTAAGCATTGGAGCTGCTTGATTCTCTGGTGAGCACACTGAAGAGAATCAGATATTCTGATCGTCCTCCAAATATTGATGTGTTTCTCTTCTTGTCCCCAGTATTTACTGAGCTCACATTCAATTTGAGCAATTCTTCAAAGAATACGACGATGAGTATGGATTTTTAGGAGACGTTCTGGCTATTGCTATTTTATTTAATATATTTTGCAGGAGTTACAGAGCGAGAATATATTTTTACGAGCCCAGTTTACTGAAAAAACAGAGTCACTCAATAAGGAAAAGATTGAATTGGAAAGGAAATTGGCTGCGTCAGAAGCTGGTATTAAACGGATCCAGGAGACTCACAAAGAGACCACACAGAAGCATACAGTGGAATTGAAGAAACAAGAAGAAAGGGTAGGCTTTTTGGCATGAAGCCCCAACAGATGTCCCAATGTCTGCTTATTTACACGGGAATGCAATTTTTTGTTGTAATATTTGATTCCTCCAATATTCACACTTCAAACTTTGATACATTTCATACCCTATTGTATAATAGAGAAGTGTTATGGGAAATGATGTTTTTATGAATTAATAAAAGAAAGGAGCAAAAGATAAAGCTTTAACATTTTCCCAAAATGATTGCACTAAAGTTAGGCTGGAGTATTATTAGAATGCTTCAGGTTTTCAGCAGAAAGCTAAATCCCTGCTCTTTATGTAATGTAAAATGTAGACTCTGTTCCATAACCATGTTTCTGGAAAGTATGTTTTTTTAAAACATAGGTTATGCCCCAGAATCACTTCCTTTTGTTGCACATAATGGCCCATTTTGAGTCATGGGCGATGCCTTTTTGCATCTGAAACCAAAAATGGAAAGTGCTGCTACCTACTCCTGATATTCTATCCTGCAGATCAAGTCCAGAGACCAGCACATTGAACATCTGAAAAAGAAATGCAAAAAAGAATTGGACCAGAACCATGAGAAACAGCAGAGAATTGAGGCTCTGGAGCGCTATATTGCTGACCTCCCAGTATTGGAGGATCATCAAAAACAAAGTCAACAGGTAGGAGGGCACCTTCTGGATGCAGCTGGCTTTGAAGGGTAGCTGGATAGGGTAGGCCTGCAAACTTGAACAGAGTAAATGTGTTAGCTTTGTGAATAGTCCAGTTGCTAGAAGGAATTCCTTTTAAGTCTGATGTATGTGTTTGTTCTCTCTCCACCCCACCCTACCCTCAATGTTTTAGTTAAAGCAGTCTCAGAAGATAGTTAGCACTTTGCAGGAAACGGTGACTACTCTTGAAAGGGAACTAAGAGATGTTCGCAGTGACTGCCGAGAGAAGGAGCTGCAGCTAGAAGTGCAGAAACACAAAGAAATGGAACTGCTTTCCACCGTGCGCAGGTAACACCAGGGAAGTGGAAAAAACAAGAGCATTCGCTTCTAGGATAATCTAGAAGTACATTGTGCTGCCTGGCAATAAAACCTTCCTACAGATAGCAGGCACAGCAGGCCCATATAGGAGTATCAGAGAAAGGGATGGGAATAAAAAGAGACAAGTTCTTGACAGAATCTCCTTTGAAGAAGAATGGCTGAAGTATGTTTAGCCTTAAGGAAAAAACACCTGAGAGGAGATAGAGTAGCATTTTTAAAACTCCTTCACTTAGAAGAAGATCAAGACCTTTCTCTCTCATTCCAGAGTGTAGGATGTGCAATAATGGTTTTTAAGTTACAGGATAGCAGATTCATTGGAATTTGAGAAAAAAAAGGATGTTAATGTTAGTTACTGTTAGACAATGGAACTGATTATCCAGAGAGATGGTTGTCTCCATTTCACTGGATCTGTGCAAAGAGAGCCTGGACAGCTCATCTGTTTAGGATGCCTTAATGTAGATTCTTGCACTAAGAGGGCCAAATGGCTCCTTTCGATCCTGATTCTAGTGATGGGAACTGTAGTGAGAGGAGAAAAGAGCCTTGAAAGCCAACTGTGGCAAGCAGTATATGCTTTAAGAATCTATAGGGAATTGTCCTTGGACAGAGGCATTCACAGAACCCAACAGATTTACTAAAATGATGAAAGGAATGGCAGGGCACAAATCCCACCCTCTTTATAAGGTTTGTGTCCTCGGGGCCTATGTACAAATTGGGCAGGATTTGCATTCTTTTTTTTTTTTTTTTTAAAACAAGTTTTATTAAAAGTTTCAACAACAAACAAATCATTACATATTGAATCTTTCCCTGTCTTTCTACAATAATTTCCCCAATATTCTCATAAAACACAAACAAACACAAACAAACATAAAAAAAATCTTTTAGTAAAGTACCTTGGCCCCAGTTACCTCTCTTTGCATGGGCTAAAATAATAGCACATATCACTCTTCACATTTCTATCTTATTTAATCCATCTTAATTAAATCATTAAATTTGTATCTTTTGCCCATTCAATTATCCCTCTATCTCTTCTTATAATAAAAAAAAATTTCTCCTGAAATCACTAATCAGAGTATGATGCCTTTCTATCCTCCCCCTAAGTTAGTAAAATTAACATTCAGCATAACAAATACCCAATTTGGTTCTGCTTGGTACATTCTATCCACCAAAAATGTTTAAATACATTGTATCCTCCTTTCCTTCGATATTTTATTACATTTTAAAAATCAATCATTATTAAAAACTTCAACATTTTAATTTCTTATTAAATCTTAAACCATTCTAATTTACTATTTCAAATATAAATGTTACAATACCATCTTCTGTACCTTAGCAGAATCTTTCTTACAGAAAATTATATTTCATCCTTTGTCTCTAAAAAAAATCCCTCTTCTCCCATCCAATTTTAAAGCTTTGAGGCTTTTCTCCGCCTTTCCCCTTTCTTTCTTCCCCCACCAAATCTTCCTACCCCCCCTTCTTCTTCTAACCTCTACCTTGCTGGGATCCCTTCTCTGTTGTGTTCCCTTTTTCTCTTGTTTGTTATCATTATATTTACTTTGCATCATATTTTTCTCTTTCTCAAATGTTTTTTTAGATCTTAAGTCCTTCATTTTCCTTGCTCTCTTCCTTCCTTCTTCCTTAGATAAGTTTTGGGATTCAATGAAGATGGCGTCTTCGTCTCTTCCTTGTTGTTCTTCTTCCGTTTCCATCTGTTCCATTGTCTGTTGATAATTGACCAGCGCCATTTCTAGAAATAGAAAAGCTTTTTCCATGCCATCTTTGCAGGCTGCTTTTGTTTGCTCATATTCATCCCTCAGGTCTTCAAAAAGGAAAGCCATTATAAATAAATCTTTTCTTTTCTTTATTCCTCTTTCTTCTTACACCAACCAAATATTCCGAGAGAAAGGCAAAACAATCCCAAAATCCACAGTCCTCAATAAATCCAAGCAAGCCAAAATTCCCCCTTCCTCTTCCAGGGGTGGTATCAAACAAATAAAAAAAAAAGAATCCAAGTCTATATTTTAAAGCCTTATTAAGATTGTATTTCTGTCCTCAAGTCTTCAAGGCATCTCCTCCAACAAGATCCAAATTAATATATTTTCTTTATCCTCTCCCTTCCGGCTTAATTCCGTCGGGAGGGAGAGTAAACTTTCCCTTCAGCACCTCAAAATAGCCGCTTTTTTTTCTCTTGTGGAAGAAATCATCAGAAAACCATCTTTTCCAGGAATTAAATTAGATAAATCTCAAAGCCCTGGGTCGACCAAGAAGAACTTTTACTTTCAATAACTTTCTCTTCTTCCTCCTGCGCATACTTGCCCGGCTGTCAACTTCTTTGTGGCGGCCATTACGGACCGCCGCTGCACCGTCCTGGTAACAGGGGGTTCTGCCGGCCAGGGAGGGGGTCTGCAACACCCCCAAACCCTTCCTCCGGATCCCCCTTACCTTCAGCTACCCCTGCAGGGCAGCCTTGCTCCGCACCCGTCCGGGTCGGAGCCCCAAAACGGCTAGCGCGGCAGGGATCGCGCAGCTTCGCGAATCCCTACCGCTCGCGAAGCCGACAAACCGGAAACTCCAGGATTTGCATTCTTTTGGCATGGCACTTTATTTCATCATTTGTCCTACTTTGTTATGGCTTCCTCTCTCCAGAGAGAGGAAGGCGGAAAATGACTACAGAGTCAAAAGTGTGTTGGTTTTGGACTCAGAAAAAATCCCGGGAGTAGCAGTCACAGAAGATATTACAGGTAGTCTTCAACTTACAACATTTTGTTTAGTGACTGTTCAAAGTTACAACAGGACTGAAAAAAGGGACTTATGACCATTTTTCATTCTTATGACCATTGCAGCACCTCCATGGTCACATGATCAAAATTCAGCCGCTTGGCAACTGACTCATATTTGTGATGGTTGCCGTGTTCTGGGGTCATATAACCAACCACCTGACAGGCAAAGTCAATGGGGAAGTCAGATTCATTTAACCATGTTACTAATTTATCAAGTATAGTGATTCATTTAACAACTGTGGCAAGGAGAGTCGTAAAATGAGGCAAAATTCACTTAAGAAATGTTTCATCTAACAACAGAAATTTCGGACTCCATTATGGTCATAAGTCGAGGATTATATATTATATATGAGCTCTTTCTCTGTTTGGGGAAGGATAATTCTTTTGGGAGGGGGTTGTGTTTATATCTCCTTCCCATATGTGCTTTTCCCTCAACTGGGTGCCCCTATTTATTACCCCCTTTAAGACTTACTTCTTTCTGAGCATCTTTACAAAAATCAGCCTTACAGGGCATTTGGCTTGGGGTAGGTGGGGGCAACCACATTGGATCAGGCTTTGATGGCATCTTTATTTGCTTGCTTCCACCATGGGAATTTGGTAACACTGGTAAGAGAACCTGCCTTGTTGTTTAGGCTTGATTGTGAGAATAGAAGGGCATAGTAGACAACTTTAGCTTTTTAATTTCTCACAGACATGAAACTTCAACACAGACAGAATCGAGATTGGAGAATCTCTTTAATAGTTGGGGGTGTTGTATCAGCGCATGTCTTTGGAATGGAGCGATGTTTTTAATTTGCTTTAGAGGCAGAATGATGAAACTCACTTTCAAAGGGTGAGCTTATATAAAGTTCAGTTCATTTAATGAAAACTTCCTGTTTCTTAGTTTACAAGATAAAATGCAGCAGATGAAGCCTTCAATACCAGAAGATTATGCCCAAGAGATAGAGAGAGAGAGGGGAGAAAAAGAGTCTCTGCACAAAGAACGTGATCTTCTCAGGAAGGTAACTCCAAAGATGAGGCTGGAGCTTTTAACTCTGCATCTACTTTGTATTGAATAGAAGATCAGCATTCTCTTCCTTTATGATCATTTGTAAATATCAATATTCTTGTATTAGGCTCTCATTGCAATATCTCATTGATCAGGCTGGGATGTACCTGGTCAAGATTATAAACCCAATCAAAGTTGGGTTTATATCATAAAGGATCAAAATTTACAGCCACGTTCACTTAAAATAAGCATACCTGGGCTAATTTTGTAATCTACAGTTACAAACATGGGAATCTTCCCACATTGCCTTTAAAGAAAGAGTGTCTTGTGTGGGATGTTTGCCTGGTTTATTTTAACCCTTTTAAAAACTAACACGCTTTTCTTCTTTCCTGGTGGTGATGTCTTCTCTTTATCTCTTCATCTTCGCTCAGTTTTGTGTTCTCCCTTCCCTTCCTCAGTGCACCAGTGCCTTTCCTTGCTATCTATGCAACTTTTTTTGCTATTTGCAGATAAAGGACTAATTATATAAGTGTAGAATACCTTGATTTTACAGCAATTAATTTTAAAGTTAGTTCACTTACTATTAAACTCCCATTTTAGTGCAGCTTCCGGTGGATGCTTATATAGATACATATACATACATTCACATGTGATACACATTTATTGAAGAAGTGAATGTTTTCAGGAAAATAATGTGAGAAAGTTAGGCATTGTACAGATTTGATGTGGGTTGTTAATTTTGTTCTGTCTCTTTGGATAAATATTATTTATAACTGTTTATATCAGATGTTTGGAAGTTTAGCTTTTCCTGCAAAAATGATTTTAAACTAAGGCTGCATTGTATGGGATAAGTCAGATTTGCAATAAAAGAACCCATAAATTATGCTAATTAGCAATTTGAGTATGGGATTATCCTCAGGAGTAAAACTTTTCAAGTCCTTTAGGTTAGATCGCGCACAAGGATACAAATGCTTGTGAGCACATTCATTCAGCAGCAGCACATATGGTGGAAGATGTATGGGAACATTTGATCATTTTGATTTTTTAAATTTAGATTGTGGAAAATCAGAAGAAGAAATTGGATCAGTTATCTTCACAAATAAAGGTGAGCTTCTTATTGGAACATTAAAGGCAAACTTCTTGTTGAAGTAACACATCACTAGTAACATAGTCTCAATTTGTCTTCCAGGATCTGGAGGAACAGATTGCCCAGGATGATGGTACAGCCCAAGCTCTGAGAGCAGAAGCGTTGAAGCAGGAAAATGCATTGCAGCAGCTACGCAGAGCTGTGAAAGAGGTGTAGCTTCTTTAAAAAAAACACTGGCAGTTTTAACAATCGCAATTATTAGACTGACTGATTCTTCTTACTACTTTACTACTGCAGTTTCTGTTTTTACATAGTGTATCCTTATCCATCTGATTTTTTCCCAGTTTAAATCTGTAGCCTGATTTGAACCTTCCCTTTTAATTAGTTCAGAAGTGCATAATCTTTTTTTAATTAATGCCTGTACTTTGACTTTGAGTAGAATATTAAGGACTATACTTTAAAAAGAAGAGAAAACAAGAAGAGAAAAACTCCATTTTATTTAAGTTTAATTAAAACAGAATTAAGATAACAAGAATGTTATTTTTCTCTATGTGTTAAATAAGTCTCCTTTCTGTCACTTCAAAGTAAAAACAAACACAGTTTAGAGGGATTACATGAGACTTGGAGAGGGCGTGTAGTCCCATGATTCAAAGCCTTTTGACCAGCACATACGCTATCAATGTTCTGCATTATTGTAAGTGAGATTATGGTTCTGCTAGGGCTGATTCCTACAGTTTTGTTATCATGCTGAGATGTGATTTACATCTAGTGCCATCTAGCTGCTAGATTCTCTTCTTTGGTAATACAAAAACATATTGTAGTAAAAGAAGGCTGGGTGGAGATTATGTGGACTCCTGGAGATATGGTTGCCCAACTGAATCCAGCAGAAGTTGGATAATGGATGAAGCAGGACAATCTACATTTTGTCGTCTCCCCCCCTCTAAATAGTTTGGGGGAGGGAAGGGGTTGGACTGCAAACATCTATCTGGTGCCATTCTGAATAAATGAAACACAAATAAATCACAAATATCCATAGAATATACAAAGCACTTGTAACTCCTTCATTCTCCAATACTTTGTAAGCTAGGACAATCTAAATTCTATACCAATTCCTACTTCCCTGAAATGTATCTGAGGAGCATTAGATACTAAAAAGTATGCTAGATTATCCTTCCTGGAAAGATACAAGGATTTTATAGGAATTTTATTTTTTCTATATTTTGACCGCATTGCCCTTCTCTTAATCAAGATAGATTGCATCTGCTTCTCAGGTGGGGAAAAGAGGACAAATTAAAACTGTCTCCAAATTGGAAGTTCTGTTCTGTGAAGCAAGGCATAAATGTATTGGAATGTCTCCTATCAAAATAATTTCCACTTTTCTTTGTAAGACCATTTTCCCTAGTAGCACACATGCAATGATCTTTGTTTTTTCTTCCTTGTAAAAACCAAATATCCCAATTCCTGCAAATGTATCTTTTCATTCTCCCAGCAGTATGATGGTTAAGCCTAGACGATGCTAAGTGATCTCAGAACTAAAGGCAAAAGATACAGATGGACTTTCTGATGTTCCCAAACATGCTTGTGAAATGCAGAGCTGTGGAATCATTTTTGAAAGCCCTGATTTTTCACCTCTTATTTTTAGCTGGCTTCTCAGAACCAAGAACTGATGGAAAAAAACCTGACCTTCCAGGAGCATCTCCGGCAGATGGAGCTGGGCCAGTTGCTGTCAGATGAAACAGCCAGCCTGACCCAAGAGCTGCATAGTGAACTAGCCAGCTGCCTACAGGACTTGCACTCTGTCTACAGTGTGGTTACTCAGCGGGCTCAAGGGAAAGATCCCAATTTGTCATTGCTGTTAGGCATTCACAGTAAGTCATAGGAGCCTGTTGTCCATAGTGACAGATTATGGTCCCTTTGTCTATAGTACTTTAGGACTGTAATCCCCTCATAGCTTTCTTAGCATGGTGTCCACAGCAAACCATGACACCACTTACCCAGTGACCCCCTTGTGCAGATCTTCCCACTACTTACTTGGGTCCTGATAATCTGACTCAAATCTCTTAAGTCATGGCATTTGCACGGTTATGACATCATGTACAATTTGTCACTTGCTGTTCTTGCCCTCCATGTAGGCACCCTTATATCCTACCTTGCCAATCGATGTTCTTGAATAGTACCTTTTAACTCTTCCCTCCATTTTATTTAAGCATGATTGCTTCTTGTGGAGCTCCCTAGATTTTTCTTTTGTACTTTCAAGATTGTGATGTAATGGTTACATTTGTGATATTCTGCACTATCCATTTAACTCCAAACTACTTGGAGGCGATCTCCGTGATCATTAATAAGAGTTTTTAAAACTGCATTTTTTTTTTAAAAAAAGGGAAAAACCCAACTTCATAGTTGTTATAGGGATTAGATGCAAAATCCCCAATGTTGATTTTTCACTGGAAAATGACTGTAATTAATCTGAGACCCTTCTTCTGATTTCACAGCTGTACATTATTCTGTTCAACAAGAAAAAGACTTGTTGAAACCAGATATGCTAGCAAAGAAGCTGGAGGATGTAAAACAGCTACACAAAGAGATTGAAGATTTGCGGACTGCTATTTCGGACAGATACGCTCAAGATGTGGGTGATAACTGCATTACACAGTGAAGGCCAAATTAGTGGAAGATGTGAACTAAGTTTGTACTGTGCAGGGTGAGTTTTCAGGAGGCCTTTATTACCTGTTCAGGTGAAGATGCTTCCCACAACTGGAAATCAGATTTTCTCTTGACAGGAAAGCTGTCTAAGGAAAACAAGCCTATAAGGGTGTGGCAAAAACTTTTTTTTTGTATCCTGCAATTTTGGAACTGGTTCCTGTTAGCAGCTGCAGTCAGGAAAGTGCCTTCCAGCATTCATTTCTGTAATTTATGGCAGAAACGTTTTTTCAGACACTACAATCATGGAGACTTTCTTTTGTAATGTAATTGCTGTGAGGTTGCGAAATCTTTCATGAGTTAGGATTGAATATAAAATGGCAGTCCGTATGTAGAAAAACTGAGTCGGCTGTGGTAAAGAAAGTCTGAACAGTGAAGAAAGATCTGTTTTTTTAAACAGGTTTTTGAAATTTCTAAGATAATCTTGTACTCTCAGGTTTTTTCCGATTCCTTCCTGAAACTAGGAATATGATGATTAAATTGTAGAAGGCATTATTGCATTTCTCCTTAAATGTTTTAGGTCTCCAAAGCCTGTGCTGGTTCCCCAGGTTTTAGGATATGACCACTGCTAATGGCATGGACACTTTCAATGTCCATGTGCCATCTTGGGTTCATACATTTTCAATGCAGATGCACTTTTTAAACTGTATTTTCATATCACTGTTATCTATGCAAGCATTAACTTGACATTCTAGAATGTATGAATTCAAATGTTGAAATGCCTTAATTCTCCTAGAAATAAATCTTTGGAAAGAGAGAAACTGAATTTCTGTATTGCTGTCATGTGGACAATTAGGTTTATACACTGTAATAGACAGAATTACAGGTTGATTTTAAAACTAACCCTTCTGTGAAACAGTAAGGTGATAATTAAATTAGTTAGTCCTTATGACTGAACAGATTAATGCTCATTCCTCCACAAGGTTGTAATATGGGAGGAGTCTTTAATGCTGTGCCAGCACTTTACAAAAAGACCTTACATTAGGACAAGCATGGCTGGCGGTAGCTACTGATATTGATGAACTCCTGTCAATTGTAGGTAGCATGATCTATGTGAAGGCATGTAGATGGTCTACGCTTGCTCTTGAAATTGAAAATTGACCTTGAACAGAAAGCTGAGTGTGTTCCTACATGTCAAATATTTACCTGTGGAAATTATTCAAATGAGAGAACTGCAAATCAAGCATTCTCCATTCTTTTGATTACAGTCTTTTTGACTACAATCCCAGCTGTAGATGTATTTAACTAAGTATATGAATACTTGTGTAATTTAGTTAAACAGATTGCTTATGATAAACTACTTCATTTAGTGGGATCTCCTGTAAAGGTTGACTGTAATCAGTGCTATTTATTCTTTGAAACAATATATTTTTGACAATCCCTTGAATGTTTCTTCATATAATTAAGGTGGATATTTATCATTATAGCCTAGGCTAGGGTCCTAGATATTCCAATTTCTTTTTTGGGGGTGGGGAATGAAATTCACTATTTCTTTATCTTTGGAGATCTGTCTTATTTTGTATAGATTCAACTATTATTTTAAGTATCTTTCTAAGTCCTTATTTCAAATCCTATTCTGGGTTAGAATAGAATTCTATTATTTAATTGCCCAGAGTCACTGAGGATCAGGCAATATATACATAAGTAACATAGTTATATAAACAAAAAACTAAAACCAGAGTTGCCAGTTCTTTAACTGGTGCTGACCTTCATACATGGAGTTTTTCCCAAGAGTTTAGAATGTCATAATGTATTGTAGTTATGTGTGGATCCAAGCAATGTGTCCTTGTTTTCCTATAATTCATGGATTTTATTTTTGCTGAATAACTATCAGTATATTTTTATTTTGAGTTACTTTTACTCAGTTAACCTAATTGAATAAATGTGTAAACAATGGCTGCTATTTTTTAGTAGACTATCTGGATACAATAAGTTTATTGTACCACTGATTCGACATTCTTTTAAAGCTTTAGAAAATATATTAGTGTGATAATGTCAGCCACCCTTGTCAGCCCATACACTGTCTGTTTGACATTTGTTGGTTTGCAGACAGCTATTTCCCAAATTCTCCAGATGCAATACAGTTGTAATAGCTAGTATTCTATATTTTGACAACTTTTACTAGCCTTTAGTGAAAGTTTAATAAAAATAGAGGGAATGTTTATAAAGCTATGATCTGAAATTGTGACAGAAGCTGTTTTATTGTCAGCATTTGGCAGAAATTTTTTACTTGAACTTTTTGTACAGGCATAGGGGAAATTTCAGAGGTATAACATTTTGTTGTGCTTGCAGAAAGGAAAATCTGTTTGTATACTGGTTATTTTTATTGCAAAAGAGTAGAACTTTTAAAATATAAAGTATATCCTTAATAGAAGGATTGCACTGAATTTCATTGTTAAGATTGTAGTTTACTACACAGTTTCTACATTACATTTTCAAACTAGGAGTATTTTAAGCTGTTTTAACATATTTCTTTCAGAAGAAATTAAATTTATTTTAAAAATAAGAAAAAGAAAGAAAAGTTCTTTGTTTTGGTAGAATTGACCTAGTTGCGTTTAATCAAAGTATATGGAATGTTTTGAATTCCAACCCTGATTTTTGGGACCTCATCTGACTCTTAAATGAGAAATTTAGAAAATGTATTCTTGAAATTATACACATTTCTTATTGATGCAAATTCAGTGTAGCAATAAAATTGCTGCAAATCCATTCAGATTCCAAATTTTAAAAAGTTATTAAAATAACTAAGGGTGAAAGTATAGCAGTTGCCTAGCTATCTAAGAAGCAGAAGTAAAAAAAAAAACCCGCCTATTTTTATAGCTGCCATTTTTTCCCCATCTTTCCTAATAAAACGAGCTGAAAATAGGAAGGTCGGGGATTCGTGAGCCAGATGCAACCAGAAACACAAATAAGCGTAAAGAACTTGTAAAATAAATAAATAAATAAAGCAAAACGTGTGAAACAGAGACTTGATCGATCAGTGGAACAATTATCCTGTATCCGCTGGATTTGTACAGACAACCACATCAAGAAGCGTTGCCAGTTGATGAGTCAGAGACCTTCCACGCCCGCAGGTGCCCCCTTTCCGGGCGGGGGACTCGAGCTGCAAGGAGGCCCGCCGAGGCCGATCCCGAGGCTGCAGCTCCGGAAGAGAAGGAGGGGGGGGGAAGCGGACCGCCTCTGAATCTTTTGCCGCCCCTCTGACCGCAGCTTGGCCGGCGGCGGCGGCGGACAGCTGAGCCTGGCGTGCTGCCTGTTCCGCATGCCCGCGGCCACTCACCCCATTGGTCGGGCTGCGGTCACGTGCTGGCTGGGGTTGGGGAGGCAACGGAGCCCTGCCCACCTTTTCGCTTCCTTCCCCATCCACCCACCCAGCCAGCGGGCAGCCCAACGAGAGGGAGCGGAGCAGCCATGGCCTGCCTCACCATCTACAGCACTTCGGTGACCGGTTCTCGGGAGGTAAGGCCAGCGCAGAGCAGCCCCCCCCCACACACACACCAGCGCCCGTCCGTGCAAGAAGTCGGTGCCGCCCCTTTGCAGTATGCGCTGCCTACGGGGGTGGGGTCTCCTCTTCCCCTCCCGTCCCTGGGGCTGCTGCCTGCGCGCCCCCACCCCAAACGGTCCTGCTCTCTCCGCACTTTCGCCTCCCTGCTTCTCGCGCCCCGCCCCAAAAGCCAGCTGTTCCAGATGTGCTCGCCTCTGCCTCCTCCGGGCAGAACATCTGGAGGAGGGCGGGCTATGCATCTTTCCTCTTAGCTTTTAGGTGGGCTTCTCTTCCCTTTAGGTTCCTCGCGAGGGTGGATTCCTTAAGGGGAAGGGGAGCAACGCCTTTTCGGCTCCAAATTCCCGCCCACCGCCAGTGGAGACACTGGAGCGATTTGAGGAAAGCCTGAACGGGAAGAAATCCAATCCTGTCACAAAGGGGAGGGAGGGTCTTCCTTTACCAAAGGCTCTTTCCCCCTTGTGGAGGGGAGGCGTGGAGCCTTCCTTCCTTCCCCATCCCCAGGCGTGGAGCCATCCTTACTCCGGTGGGGAGGCTGCTTGATCTCCTTGATCACTAGGGGAGGATTCTGCCTGTATTTAGCTAGGATTGGGATTCATTCACTGGAAGTAGGACTGGCTCTTAGTATTTCACTTGCCTTCTCTGCATAATCCCAATGCAGGATGATTCACCCTCTTCCCCCTTTCCCTTCCTCTTCTTCCTTTCCCCCACTGATATGCCTGCCCCACAGATCAAATCCCAGCAAAGCGAAGTGACCAGGATCTTGGATGGAAAGAACATCAAGTACAACATGGTGGATATCTCCCAAGACAATGCCCTTCGGGAAGAAATGAGGACCAAATCAGGCAACCCCAAAGCCATTCCTCCCCAGATTTTCAACGGGGACCACTATTGCGGGGTGAGTGGTCCCTGGCACGGTAGTAGGTGCTGTATTTTACATTACAATTTGGGAGTTTTCCCTGGGACAGCAGTAGCATTTCTGCCTCCCCAGCCTTTAGCAAGAGCATTAAAAAATTGGAGGTGGGTGAAGAACCAATCATGATCGTGGTAAATATGTCTCCTGGCATGGGAGTATCCATGGATTTGGGTACAATACAGATGAGGCATGCCAGTGCCGTTGACTTTTTCCAGGGTGTGTTTCGTTTTTTTTTAACTTCCCAGTCTGAACTGCAATCTTGAATTTCCTGGTAAATATTATGCCCATCCCTGCTTGATCAATTTTTTCCCCTTTCTAAAGATCAGCCAAGGTTGGCTAAGTGCTGCCATCTGGTGTCTCTCACAATTGTTTTACGTTAATTGCTCATCTCTGGGCTTCATTGTTTCTTTTGCTTTCAACCCAGACTTTGTTTGGTTCTGTTGGCCCCTTTTAAATGAGAATGAATGTTGCCCTTCTCTCTGTACTCTCCATGCATGTTGGCCTTGAATTAACCAGAATTCCCAGTCAGCAAGACTCTTGGCTAGGCCAGCTGGAAATTCTGACTTTTAATAATTAACTTGTAGTTTTACATAAGAGGCTAGTCTACAAACATAGGATGGAATATTGACTCCGGTAGCCTCATTTTGTGACCAGGCCAAGATTTCAATATTAATGTTAAATGAATGAATGGCCTGCATGACAAGGGGTGTGCTCTGAGAGTAACTCAGAGTAACAACTCCTTATGTGTAATATGACTGTGGTAGTATTCTTACTTGTGTTGTTTTGTATTAATTAGAATGGTGAAAGGAAGCTTCTATCTTTCCAAATATTACTCAATGCATCCCTCAATATTGGCCATGCTGGCTGGGGCTATTAGGAGTTGTAGTTCATCAACATCTGGAGGGGGTTTCGCATCTGGAGATTTAGGCTCCTCCAGCAAATGTTCAAATGAATTTTTGTCAACAGTCCTTTTTCAAATATGCAGTGTAGGGCAACACTTGCTATTTCCAAACATTTTTAATAGCACGTTACAGTGAACATCCCTTGAGTAATTTAAAGGAAAGCTGTAATCTTGCTGGGCTTGGCATGAAACTAGACAGGGAGTCTTGCTAGGACAGGGAGGGAAAATCCCATCTCTTTCTGTACATTTCCATACTCTTTAGGTGCTTATTACAAAATGTCTCAGACTATAAAATGAATCATTAATGTAAGGGTGAGGAAGACATTTGGTTTGCTGACAGCAGGAGAAAATATGAATAGACTATAGTGATGCATTTCTTTGAGAGGAGAATGAATATTGATTCCAGCTTAAATTATGTTCCTGAGCCATTTCCTGACAAAGTCGGAGGGTCATTTGCAGAGGGAGCAGCCCCGTGGGCATAAAGGGTATTCTCATTTCCCTCTACCTGAAAGTATCTGTAAAAATCTCTAATTCTGTGCCTTAATACTGATACTGACAAGTGACATACTGCAGTTTAAAAGGCATTTACTGTGAAATGTCATCATGCCAGAGTGATTGTTAGCCTTGTTCTGTGAAAAATTTTTTTTTTCCAGCATGTATGGATTGTATTAATGCTGAAAGTTGCATGCCTGTCCCTTATAATTCCTTGTGTGTACAATCACACTTGGCCAATAAAGCTATTATCTTCTCTCCTCTCCTATTCTATTCTATTCTATTCTATTCTATTCTATTCTATTTATTCTATTCTAACCAAATCCTGGGTAGTGGGGTGTGACTCAGTTTGTATCAGACAGCTATGAAGTAAACGTCAGAGGTTATATGGGTATTTGTGGCTTTCATAGTAATTGTGACTTGGATACACACCCAAGCTGGTGTCTGGGCAAAAGCACCAATGAGCCATTTAGTTGAAGATTTCAGATGTATCTCCCAGGGATTCTGCAGATGTTTCCACCAAATTATTGTTTTTCATGTGATAGAAGAGGACAAAATACATGGAAGCAATAGTATCAACTGTATTTAAGCAGTATAATTGTATTACTTCGCACGTTACTTTTGACTTGTGATTAGCCTCTCAGTTGTTAAGTGAGGAGAAGTATCTAGAGGGGATTACAAAGGAGAGGACTATATAATCAGTTTTGAGGCACAAGAACAGCTTTGAACATTCTGTAATGAAAGCTGTTCTTCTGTTTGGCTCCAGAAGAAGCTGTTTTGGTTTGATGCTAGGAAATTCTTAGCCTTTCAACTGCACAATGTCCCTATTTTTTAGTTTACTTTTCTCCCACCTGGCAGGACTACGAACTGTTTGTGGAAGCAGTGGAACAGAACACCCTGCAGCAATTCCTGAAGTTAGCCTGAGCCTGCTTCTTCCCTGCCCCACATGAAAACCTTCCTCCCCACATGAAAACCATCCAGGACTTGGAAATTCTGCATTCCAGATGGATCACCTCCCAAGTGATTGTCAGCTCTGCGTGACCAACCTCTTCTCCAACTGCCTCTGAATTGCATTCCCTCTTCCACTGTGGTCTCCAAAGACCGGTGGTGCATTCCCCTCGAATGCAGCTGGGCCCCTCTCCTCGTGCCTATGGGGTTAGACTGATGCTAATCTTCTAATTAAGGACCTTGGAAAGCAGAGCTTTCCCCTACTTTCCCCTCCTCCCCCTTTTCTTTTCCAAGCTCAGGCTGCCCTTAGTATTGAAAGGGAAGAGCTGGTTGCTTCTTCCCTTCTTATCATCATACGTCCTTCAATGTGCAAATGTCAGTTCCTGTAGTTCCTTTTTCATTTTAACCCAGGAAAGAGAGCAGCAGACATCTGCTCTTACTGGGATTTTTCTTGTCTAGCAATGCAAAAAGTGCTGCACGGGGGTTTTGTGCTCCCGTTGCCTTCTCTGCCAGCGGTTAGTGGGGAGAGGGTGTGTATGTGTCTGTCTTAAAACATGGTGATGTAGCTCAGCCTTTCTTAAAGCGGTTCTCCAGGGGGCGGCAAGAGCATTTCTCCTAGTCCATTAGTGCTTTTTTCCTTGTGCCCCCATCTGGCAATGGAAAAAAAA